TATATATATATATATACAGAAAATAGAAAATATCAAGTCCCTATGCGCATTATAGTCAACAACTATGAAACTCGTCAATAATATACTTCATCATCATCATCATCACATCATCCGTTAACTGTCCACTGCAGAACAGGTTGCCTGGAAAAGATTACTTACTTACAGATAAGAACAAGGGACTTACAGATGAGGACAAGGGACTTATAGATAAGGTCGCCCACTGTTTTCCCACTGTGATTATTTCTTGTAATTGTTTATATTTATAATAAGTTTACTATTGTAATCTTTTGGAGGAAACAATAAAGAGTATCTATTTATCTCCCACATAGACTGTCATTGGGATGTTTTACGAATAGTTGCCACGCCTAGCAAGCGAGCTGACAAGAGCAGTTAGACTTTGGTTTTTTTTTACAACACAGGGAACAAACGAGCATTCGGTTCACCTGATTTATTTTTGACCTGTTCACCTGAGTATTTCCGAACCGATACGACAACATAACCTTCAAGAAAAGAGTATATACCTTTTTAAAAGGCCGGCAACACACCTGCATTGCCGCTGGTGTTGTAGATGATCATGGGCGGCGATAGTTACTTACCACCAGGTGAGCGGCATACTCGTTTGCCCCCTGTGTTGTAAAAAAAAAACTGTCTCTTTCCGTTTTTTGGAACCTACCTTAAAAAAAAACGACACAACATACAAATATACATGCGTAAATATATATGTCAATATACATATCCTAATCCCAGTACAAATTCTTCCCGGCATAGAATGGACCACACCTTTTCCCGTGGATGTCATAAGAGGCGTCTAAGGCAACTTAATGGTAGAGGGTGGGTAGCAGGGCCTTTCTTAAAACATCACTAAAAACCTAACTGCAGTTGCCAACCTACGTGCCAAGCGTAGCATCTACTGGCAAAAAATTCCTTATGGGGAAAACTTACATTATATTATGGCAGTGGACAGTTAGAAATGCAATGTAACGGACAAACTGTGAAGTAAATATTTACAGATAAATCTTCATGTTGATTTCGATATAATGCTTATTATAATGCGCATAGAGTCTAAATCTATTTGCCACGCGTTGTTACGCTAAGCATCAGTCTTATAAAATAATACACGAGGCAATATTCTGGAATGCTAAATCAGTGCCAGGAACGCTGTGCGATACCAACACCTTGTGCCACATCAATCGAATGTGTTGCCTCAACTTTACAAGCAATGGGCTCGATTCTCAGGCTTATTTCTCTAAACTTGCCTCTTAACCTAACATTTTGGGGGGAAAGGGATTGTTAGTAATGGAGACTAAAAATCCCATTGCTAGGGTCGACCTCCTCGCGGTTCCCCCTGGAAAATCATGTTTGATGAATTCATCATGATAATGAATTCTCTAACACTGGTGCTCCGCCAGCTATCCATTACTAACATTTTAGGGGGAAAAGGTTATTAGTAATGGATTCTAACAGCTCCATTATACCCATCATCACGATGGGCTCGACTTCATCATCGCGGTTCTCCGGGGCTACCATACCATTTTCATCCACCAAAAAAAAAAAAAACCTAACATTTTAGGGGGAAAAGGTTATTAGTAATATTATGATTAATTCCTGATGAATTCATCATGATGGGCTAACTGGCCTGTTTTCATCCTCATCGATCACCTTTCACTGGTGCCCCGCCAGCGTATACCGTTAGCGCATAAAAAAACCTAACATTTTAAATTTCGAATATTTATTGTTCTATGGACCATAAACTAGACGTATAACAATTTTGACTTAAACCTATTAGGAATTCAATTCATATTGGTCCTTAAAATAGGCATTAGTAATATCGACACCGCACCATACATATTGAGTTCCTCACGAAATTGATGACGGAAAAATGGTCTCTTTTTATACCACTGAGGTGGCAAACAAGCATACGGCCCACCTGATGGTAAGCGGTTACCGTAGCCTATGAACGCCTGCAATACCAGAGGTTTTACGCGCGCGTTGCCGACCCAAAAGAAACCTCTTTAACCCCTTTTTAAGAACCCCATGCTGTAGTCTCTTGGGAAAACCTCGGCAGGGAGCTCATTCCATGACCTGAATGTTCGTGGGAGGATTCAGAGGTTTCAGAGATGTTTTCTCCCACGAGTGTTCATGGGAGATACCATCTCTGAAACCGCGTTGTACGCGACCATTTAGGCTGTAAGGTATGAGGGTGAACTTCCTGTGGATGGCGAGCCGTACGATGCTAGAAAGTGGCCGCAGATCATTATCTATTTTGAAATCTCACATATCTATATTCATTTCAATTAGGTTCTTAATTTCGATAATAAACAATTATTAGATAACAGATATTTTACATATTCGTTATTGGGCCAATATTGTAATCAAACATATAGATATTATTTATTTATATTACCACCTCTACCTTAAAATTAAGACGTCGCTGTGATATCAAATTTTAATTTAAGAGGCAAGTTTAGAGAAATGATGCCGCAGTATCGACCCCAATGAGAAACACTCGGTACAACTGTCCACGCTAGATGGCGTTGTATAAAGAATAGTAAAATTCTAAATTCAAAAAAGTATCTTCGATACATATAAGTAGTCACAATTGAGTACTAAATTGTATACTTGTAATTCTGTATTACTATAAAACACAAACAGCAATACAATCACTACGTTTAAAAGTCGACACTGCCCTTATAAAGACAAAACAGGAAAATAAATCTGTGCAACGACCTAGAAGTATCACAATAAAATAAATAAATATTATTAATATCCTAAATATCGATATCAATAAGTATCATAAAAGACCTAACTAATGTATAATGTAAAACTTTCCAATTAAATTATTTGGTTGCATAGATTTTATACAAAAGTTTTTTGTTCGAAGTGACGCGGCCCTGACTGAGCTGTTGACTACTCCGCCATTTTATTTTTTTATATCTGACCACTTTAGCCTTATGGTATAGTATGCTTTGAGAATACTCACTCTATAATACAAGATGAACTACTAAGCATTCTTTTAAGGTAGATACAAGGATAACAAAAATTATCAAGTCTCCTATACTAATATGCGTCCAGCTGCATTTTTATTAAGGATGTCCACACACACGCACAAAGGGAATTTTACGAACTTACTATGGTCGCTTTCGACAATTGTTTCAACTTCGTTCGGAAGTCTACCTCGGGTTGCGTATGGCAGCTTTGCGTCACAACATATCATAAGCAAAAAATAATGTTTTATTTAACGCCATCCACATACACTAGTGGTTTTAAAAATGCATTAATCTGCCAAAAACATATTATTAAGTATGCATAACCTCCCAAAAAAATTTTTTTATCTGGAACCACGTAATCGAAAACGATCTGGGCCTCTAGACATATAACAAACGAATTCGTCGATGGAATCGACATCGCAAGTCCATGAGACAGAATGAGATAGCAACGCCGGATGACTCATTCCAACTTACGGACTCGCTAGCGATGTCGATTCCATCGACGAAATCGCTTGTCGCTTGTCTAGAGGGCCAGGAATGCGTGATGACGTAACATGGAAGTAAAAATGTCCGTCATTGATGTTCCTTTGCGTTCATAATAGCAATGCGCGAACCCGAATGATTTCATTATTTGAATAATTAGTAATTAATACGTAGTTGGTTTTACCAGAGGAACTGAACATTTTTTCTAAAGAAAGATGGGTGGGGGAGTGACGAATGAAATTGGGTACCCAGTACTAACTCGACGCGATGTAGCTGTCAAGGACTGAAGAACTATTACAAGGTTTTTATTGTTTGTAGTTCCAACCGTTCTTTAGAGATAAAAAAAAATAACATGCCAAGTGTGAGTCGAACTCGTGCTCTGAGGGTGTTGTACGAATTATAATTGTAAAAAAAAATATTTTGCAAAAAATATTTTTTTATATAACTACAAATTCCCTCTGTGTTCTAATTTAACAGTTCTAGGTCTAAACGGGAAGTACCCTATAGATTTTGATTCCTTTCAAATGTCAAAATATACGCTATAAACAGCCATATCTTTTGATTGCGTTGACCTAAAAGTTTAATTTTATTACAGATTCAAGAAATTGCAGACTTGAGTATTTTATATTAATTTTAGCTTGATACCTCCACGCATATCTGAGAAAAAAATTTCTTTAAACAGATGGGCAAATAAAGTGACCCTAAAAGGTTCCATTATTCCTTTTGAGGTATAGAACCCGAGTCCTCAAGAATGGCAACCTAATGGGGGAATTATAAGCGAGACAGTATACTTTGTTATGTCCATGGTACCACTCATGTGTATAGACGACGGTTACCACTTTCTATCAAGTGGGCCGTCAGTTCGTTTGCCATTTTAAGTTGCATAAAAAAAAAATAGAACCCTAAAAATGTTCAAATTCGCTAATAAAACACTCCCTTAAAAGAATGCCAAGATAGTAGTTCTGACTTCAACACGTTTACACCAATATTATGGTACATATTTCACATAGACTTCACAATAAATTACAGTATTACAGTAGAGGCACTGGCTTTGAGATAGAAATATATATATATATATATATATATATATATATATATATATATATATATATATATATATATATATATATATATTATATATATAGTTAGTTACAAATGATTATACAATACTAAAAATATTTAATTAAAGATACAATTGTTACCACGTTTAAAATTAAAATTAACGGGATTTAAAGCGACGCCGTTACCGGTTAACAGTTATCCAGGTAACTCATTTTAGAGGTTAAAATAAATACAAATAAAATATGTGTAAAATAAACGCGATAATTTAAAATATAATTAAATATAACTAACGACATGCTTTCCAAATACGGTTGACTGGAAGAGATGTCAAACAGAGATAAGTCCACCCTTGCTGACAACATTCATAAATGCATTAACAATGTAATTTACAAATATATACAATATAAGTAACATTATGTGGTAGTTCGAGTCATATTTTTTTATTTATTTCTTTTTTTTTTTAAAAAAAAATATGAATACATGGTATCAACCTGGTTGTCGCAATGCCAAACGCCTATATCAGTGGGTAAAGATGAGCCCGATGAATTAACAAGACAAATCTAACATACAGACATTCCCTATGAGGCTGGCATAGTCACCCAGATGTGTTTACTGACGCCTCAGCAAAAATTAGATTAAAAAAATAAGTACTTTGTAAAACACTAGCTTTTACCTGCTACTTCGTCTGTGTGACTGGGATACGTTATTGACCGAGATAAAAAGTAGCCTATGTTCTGCTCCATCCCATATAGTATGTGTGTACCAAATTTAATACAATGATTTTAAGTAGTTAAGGCGATATCAGGTGACAAACAAACTCACTTTTACATTTATAATATTAGTAAAGATTCTAACCTATATTTAAAAAAAAAATAAAGATATTATAACTCAAATTAACACATAATGTTCCTTATAACACGAAATTTAGTAAGCCAATGTGAATACGAATGTGTTTAGACTTATTATTGTGTATCCTGAGTAAATCTCTAGATCCTAAAAAAAATCTGCCAAATTACAGGTTCATAGATAAATTCTGTTATGTTAATGGAAACTTAAATAAACGGACGGTATGCAGTCAGCTACAGTTAGCTTCATAATACAAATACGAAACAAATATTTAACAGGCAATAGGTGTCACGAAAGAAAATCATTGTGACAAAAAAAGAACATCATAATCAATTCAAAATTGGAAATTAAAAAAAAACACACACACACATAAGAAAAAAATACAGATGTTAAAATTCAAATTGAGAATGTCATAAAATATATTATTAAAATTCAAATAAAGAACAATTTAATTTTTTTTTTCACTGCAGAAGCAACTGTACCTTTACAGAGTAAGTTACCAAATCAACAATTAATTAAAAAAACTTATGACTAATTAACATTCATGCCTGTCACACAGTAATTACTTGTACACGTGCCAACATTGACAACACCGTTAATCCTATAAGTGGCTACACAATCTTTGCTGTTTCTCCTCCTCACTATCTCGTCTATACATTCCAAGAGATGCTCGAAGAAATTGGGGAAACTATCGTAACTGGGGAACACGTTTATATCTATGACCGCATGGTGACCAGTTTGATTGTCTATGACCACATCGAAACCGGCCAATAGGAGACCGATCTCTTTTCTTAAAACTCTGATTATGGTTTTAATGACATCTTCGTTTATGGACATTGTGACGTCGGCTTTGTCGTGCGGATCTAATATTGAGAGTGTGGACTGACTATCGGCTTTGCACACTTCACCAGTACTGTAGAATATTGGTTCCAATTCCTCTGAGGCGTAGAAGTTCTTGAGACTCGGTCGTTTGCAAATGTGGTATCTGGAAAACGAAAGAACACGGTACAGAGGCATAACATTGTCATCATCATTTTTTTATACAACTTAGAATGGCAAACAAGCTGACGGCCCACCTGATGGAAAGTGGCAATCGTCATCTATAGACATGAGCAGTACCATGGACATAATAGAGCACACCGTTTCGCCCATGATACCCCCCATGCATTGTCTTTCCTGAGGACTCAGGTGTTATTCTTGTGTACCCTGTAAATTCACGCCATATATCGCCCTTCAAACCGAAACACAGCCATGCAAACAACTGCTTCACGATTGAAACACAAATGGGTCAGAGGTGCCCAAGCAAACCACTTGTACAAAGTCACCACAGGGTGACAAAAAATACATAATATACATAAAAAACACCCAAACCGATACAAGCAGATATATTCATGAATACAAATGTTTATATTACGAGGGGATCGAACCCGGGACCGTCAAGGAAAGTGAAGCGAAGCGTTAAACCACTAAACGCCCAAGGTCAAAGCGAAACAACAAAGCCAACAATCAACCCAAGGTGCTATTCAAATCATTAAATGGAAATAATTACGAAGCAAAAATTGCTGTTTAATACTGATTTGCGTAAATAGGCTTTAAGTTGTACTTAGATTTTTTGCACTAAAAGAAACACCGTCTTCAATTGTGGCAAAAACCAGTTATTTCTGATGGAAAGTGGTAACCGTCGCCTATAGACATGAGACCATGGACCTAACAGAGTATACTGTTTCGCGCATGATACCCCCCATGCGTTGCCATTCCTGAGGACTCGGGTGTTATTCCTCTGTACCCAATAAATTCACACCATATCCCAACCTTCAAATCGAAACACAGCCATGCAAACACAACTGTTTCACGGTTGAAACACGAATGGGGCAGAGGTACCCAAGCAATCGACTTTTGTACAAAGTCTCCCTCTGGTCTAGCTGATATGATGACAATGATGAAATAAATAAAGAAATTATGGTACACACCTGTTGCCTATTAAGAACACTTTATGCAACACTGCATTGTGGTTGACAAAGGTCTGAACAACACACGGCGGCTTGCTCGCCGACAGGCCTTTCTCGTTAAATATGACAACCATCTCGTGGGCCGACTTGGAGCCGTGTGCAATCGTCGGCTTACATATAACGGGGAACTTCACGCCCCTCGACTTCATGATTTCAATATTTACTTCTACATCGTTCGTTGTAAACTCCGCAAATGTTGGTGTGAATATGCCTTGATTTTGGAATGTCGCCTCGTTTTGCAGTATGGAGTAATAGCAGTATCTGAAATGGTAGAGCATTAATTTGTTTGATGTCATCTCGTGAACGCTAATCCGTCATACTCGTGAACGGGTGCTACTTGTAGGAAGTGATTTGTACTGTGATAAACACTATAATTAATTTTAGTCTTAATAATATGCAATTTCGGGGGAAAGGGATTGTTAGCAATGGAGTTTGACAGCCCCATTGCTAGCAATATGCCCTATTAGGTCGACCTCCACGCGGTTCACCTGGAAACCATCTTGAACAATTCTTGTTGAATTCGTCACGATGGGCTAACTGACCTGCTTCATCCTCACCTATCATCCTTCACTGGTGCCCCGCAGATGTATTATATACCAATAGCGTGGGTGTGTTTACCATTCCATTATCACCCATTAAAAAAATATGCAATTTCAAATAATCATTCTTTATTCTTTATCGTATACAAAAATTAATTGTATCTGAAAAACAACCATAATAGCGCACAAAGGCGAGCTTATCTCTTAAAAAGATTTCTTGCAGCAAACCCAATATAAGCTGACAGATTATTGTATTCAAGGTCACGTTATCAAATTTTTTATAACTTGTAAAACCGTTCTATTCCCAAATTTTGGCTATTTTAGTTATTTTGATAGACATTATCGCATCGAAACAGCTTTAGAATTAAAAATTTAAACTGTATAAAAACTTACCTATTCAATAACATTCTGACATTATCTAAGGGATCGATAACAGCTATGTTTGGGTGATTCGACAGGTACTGCTCCACGTGGCCGATAATGGTTGATGCCTGTAGGACAATATAAATGAGTACAAAGTAAATGAATATAAAATAACTGAGTACAAACTAAGTAAGTATAAAGAAAATAAGTACAAAGTAAATGAGTATAAAATAACTGAGTAAAAACTAAGTAAGTATAAAGAAAATAAGTACAAAGTAAATGAGTATAAAATAACTGAGTAAAAACTAAGTAAGTATAAAGAAAATAAGTACAAAGTAAATGAGTACAAAGTAAATAAGTATAAAATAACTGAATAGAATAGAATAGAAAATCATTTATTCAAATAAACTTACATTGAAGCACTTTTGAATAGTCATTACATTTTTTTTAATCTGAGTGAAAACTAAGTAAGTATAAAGAAAATAAGTACAAAGTAAAGAAGTACAAAGTAAATAAGTATAAAATAACTGAGTAAAAACTAAGTAAGTACAAAGTAAATGAGAATAAAATAAATAAAGAACATAAAACACATTGCCATCCATTTTCAAACGTAAATAACGAAAGACAGCAGAACGTGTATATAAATTATGTATAATTATCATAATCGATTCAGAAGTAACGATCGCTTACAAAAATATAAACATCAAAATCGGTTAAAGAATTGATGACGTAATTGTATAACATAGTCACACAAAAAATACAAGATGTGTTGAATAATTTATTTTGGAATTGTCTTAAGTTTTATAAAGATAAAACGAAATGCAACAAATTGAGCGTGGGGTCATAGAGTCGTATGCATTATGCCATTATCGCTTACCTTCGGGTCGCCTTGGTCAGCCGCCGCGATGATATCGGTCAACTTGTGAAGGAACACATCGATACGGGCCTGTTCCTCGAGTGGTCTTTCCAGATCTAACTGTAAAAAGATATTCCTTACACTCCACTAAAAGTGAAAAAACAATATAGGAATTATAAATAACTAGCTTTTATCCGCGACTTCGTCCGCGTGATCAAAATAATTGAAAAATATTTTCTTTCCTAGAAGGTCCAATAGAAAATCTGAGTTCCTTTCACCTCCTAACCTCATCTCTAAAATCTGTGAGGTAAAAAAACTTTAATAATAACAGTTTATAAAGCTATATGTGAATATTACAGGAAAAATAAAAACATATTTCTAACTACTGTACAGAGGAATAACATCCGAGTCCTCAGGAATGGCAACGCATAGGGCGTATCATAGGTAAAACAGTATACTCTGTTATATCCATGGTACTGCTTATATCTATAGGTGACGGTTATCACTTTCCATCAGGTGAGCCGTCAGCTTGTTTGCCATTCTAAGTTTCATAGCACCGTTTTTGAGGGATTATCAAAAAACCCTCCAAAAACAAACTCAATTATGTGGTCCAGTTTTTAACCACAATTACGGCCCAAAATAAGAAATCACGAATTGTAGTAACCACAATAGTAACTATCAAGTGTCTATTTCGTATGAGAAATGCAATTAAAGGTCATTTTTCTCATATTTAAGTATTTATGCATACATTCAGTGTGTGATTCAAATTGCACCTGACCAGTTTATTTCTTTTATTATAATATCATTCAACCAATGAGAAAGGAAGAGTGGCGACCCTGTACGGGCAAATGCAGTGTAGGACGATCCCGCACTAGATGGAGTGACAACCTCAAATGCATTGCAGTAAGTCAGTGGATGCAGGTGGCTCAGGACCGTTCCTTATGGTAGTCTATGGGGGAGGCCTATGTCCAGCAGTGGACAGATAATGGCTGAGACGATAATGATAAATATCATTAACATTATCACTGTAACAGGAGTCTTAAATAGTTTTTTTTAGTATCGATGGAACACTTGATGTGCAACTGTGATTCGTTAGCGAGCATGCGCATGAGGCTACTGGGAACGGCTTATCCAAAGCCAGAGGACTACAGAGATCTTAAACCGCGGGATATCGTTAAGGTAACACAAAGGATCTATGAAATTATGGTATAAGGCAGGGGGAAGTACAAAAGATCCCGATGGGTCGACATGCAACAGCTTAGCTGACCCCATATGCGAATATAAGATAAGGGACAGTGAGGGATGGGCAGTAGCGTCCCTCTTAAAACATCTCTAAAGTTTAAATGCGGTTTTGGTAACCGAATTTAGGCTTGCCTGCCAAGCATGACAACTACTAGCAAAATCTTCTAATGGGGAGACTTCTGTTCAGCAGTAAAAAATTAAAAGCTAATATGATGGTGTACACATGATGTTAGAGGAGGCCTATGTTCAACACTAAACAATTGGGGGGAAAGGGATTGTTAGTGATGGAGACTGAGAATCCCATTGCTAGCAATATACCCAACCAGGTCGACCTCCTTGCAGTTCCCCCTGGAAACTATCATGGTTGATTCCTGATGAATTCATCATGATGGGCTAACTGACCTGTTTTCATTCTCATCTATCATCCTTCACTGGTGCTCTGCCAGCGTATCCCGTTAGCGCAGGCAAGGCTACCATACCATTTTCACCCATCAAAAAAAAAAAAACGATTAACTATTAAAATAATGATAATTTAGCAAAAACACATCCATTATCTAAAATGAAACATTGTTGTTTGTAGGCACTCTGTATGCTTTTACAAATTAAAATTCATAATTGCTACATTAGTCTTGAAAGTTAATTATAACTACATACCTATGACTTGCACAAGAAAATCCATTTACTGATTATATCCAAATATAAATAATAATGAGTGATAGGCAACATGTTAAAGATAACACTGCATAAAAATATGTCAATATTTTTTATGTTATACAAGTATTTGCCTGCAACTTTGTATGTGGATTTTGGAAGTAGATAAACATTCTATATGATATGTAAAGACAAAACATACATCAGATTTTTAAGTCAGACCTTTACGAGCAGAACTATTGCTTGTATATATGTACAGTAGCTTCTGAGCGGAACTAGGTTGGCTGTACTAGCCACGACTCATACGTACAATGGCTCAAATGATAGGCTAAGCACGGAAAATAGAGACCTACTATACACATTACATATGTATAGTATTAATAATAATATATAAATAATTCTTTATGTAACATTATTACCAGGACCCACTTTATATTATAATTATAGTTAGGTTCTTTCAACATGCAAAGCAACACAATAGTTCATGTAGAAAGAATGCAGCCTATTTGCTAACATGGCCAGAATGCAGTTGGGGCTAGCCCGCACTCTGCAGAGCAATGATGCAATCATTTACAAATAATAATGTACATACAATCCACATGCATTTTTGCAAACATTCACTACTACTACACTAGTACTGCAAACATGAGTAAGAAAGCCTCTGTTTTCCGCACTTAGCTTCTCATTTGGGCCGTTGTGCATTGCAAACGTGAGTAAGAAAGACTCTGTTTTCCGCACTTAGCCTCTCATTTGGGCCGTTGTGCGTTGCAAACGTGAGTGTAGTGCAGTACTTTGTAGCTTTCCAAAACAAGTTCACCCTCACACTACCTACAGCCTAAATGGTTGCGTACAACGGAGTTTCAGAGATGTTTTCTCCCACGAACACTCAGGTTATGGAATGAGCTCCCTGCCGAGGTTTTCCCAAGAGACTACAGCATGGAGTTCTTCAAAGGGGGGTACAGAGGTTTCTTCAGGGTCGGCAACGCACAGGTAATACCTCTGGTATTGCAGGCGTTCATAGGCTATGGTAACCGCTTACAATCAGGTGGGCCGTATGCTTGTTTGCCACCTCAGTGGTATAAAAAAAAAACAAACATACAGACAGACAAATAAAAAATAATAAAATTGTAGTTTTAGCTACTATTTCTCTCATTGAGACTACTCAAATATTTTTTTCTTAAATATATCCCATGTACAACCATTGTTCAGTTACAATTTTATTATATTAATAAATTGAGATGCACTGGCTAATTGCTATGCAATTATATTTATAAGAAGCATTAAGTACAAAGTGTTATCTATAAATAAAATAATGAAATTTGTAAAGTGATGGTGATCATCCTAATCCTACCATAATGGCATATAACATTGTGTTGATATCTGTTATCTCATATTCTTCCATAATTTTTTTTTTTAAACAACTTAAATAGCAAATAGCAAACATTTAAGAGAGTTGACTGGCTGGCTGGCTTAACTGGTTTGCCTTAACAGGAGGGAACAACAAGCTCCTCCCATAAAGCCCATTTGGAGAGAGAGGTTACTAATGAGACCTGTGTTATAATATTCATTTCATTAATTTAAAAAAATACAAATTTTATTTTTAAGGAAACCTCATTTTTTTTCCATTCTATGTTTGACTTATGCATTTAAAAACAAAAAAAATAGGTAAATCAACATCTAATATTTAATTATTACCACATTTTTTTAATTATGAAAGTTTATAAAGATCTTTGGATATTTGAATGTTTATTGCTCAAAGAAATATGAAAATTTATACAAAGACATAAGACAAATTTTATATATTTTAACATAAATTCAAACAAACAAAACCGAAAAGGAAATAGCTTCTTTCTTAATAATATTAGCTTAATAAATAGGTTCTTCTTCTTCTTCTTCTTTTTTAAAATATGGCTTCCACCGTAGAAGCAACGGTGATTTTTAATAAATAGGTTTTTATATTTATATTAGTTAGTCACATTGTTTGAAAAATAAAATACAAAAACATTGCCTTACCTTAACAAGATTGTATCCATGTGAAGCGCATGTGTTAATTAATTCTTTCCAATTAAGTTTCTGACTTTTTTTATCCGACATCCAAATGCCAATAGTTTTACAAAGTCCGTCGTTCATTGTAAAATCTGTTGATTAGGCTGTTATTAGTATTAGTAGTCTCAAGAACGACTTCTCGAGCCGCGATCACACACAGAATGGCATTGGCTGTGAGTATATAGTGATTCATTTAATATTAGAATACAGAATATTGAACAATGGAATTCTTTAGACTGCGACTGGATACCTGCTTTAAAAAAGACTAATTAACGATAAGTTAAAAAGCTGCACTTGTAAGTAATTATTTAAATCACTTCACTTCATGTATACAGTGTTGTTTTAAAGGTATTCTTGTCAACACTTTGAAATCAAGAAACTCAACAGTCAAAAGTATTTACTTGACGGCATAGATAGACTACTCAGTGATCTATCCACAAACTACAGAAGTATTATATTTTCTATCTTACGCATTACCAATTTATATACTTAGTCTATGACACTAACCTAACAAAGAGGCCTCTTGCCTTCATAGGCGGTATCTATATACATTTTAAAATAATTATATTATTTCTTCGTTTTGTTTATTATTTACAAACGAATAGTGTAATCCTTTTTTTACAGAAATTATAATTAATTACTGAGATGTCGGACGATACTTTGATACATATCAAAAGCAGAATTTTGGAATTGTTTTCCGAATTGGACGAAGGCGAAATGGATTACATTGATAAATGGATTTCTAGTCATTCTTACAAAAAAGGTAAATATGGAAAACATTTTTTTAGGTTAAGAATAACTACTAATAATGTTTTGTCTTCTACAATTATAAATACTTATCTCACTTATAATTATGATAAATACAGCACCTACAACAAGAAAATAAGTAGTAACATTACTAACAATAGAATAAAATTAAAAATTGCTCCAAAAATATATTCATTCATTTCAGCCATTATCTGTCCACTGCTGGACATTAACTTCCATAAAGAACTTCTTTCCCATCGGTTGTAGGTTCTTCAAACTATGTGACCACTTCAGCTTGCTTATCCTTCTTCAGGCTATGTCAGTTATTTTAGTTCTTTTGCGGATATCCACTTTTCAGATTCTGTCATGCAAAGAAACTCTGAACCTCTCCATATACCAAAATACATATATTTAATAAAAATAATACTTTATTTAAATTATTTTTTTAACATTAACAATCATGTACACAATTCTTTATTCATAATATTGGACATTATTTACTTTTATGTTCTAATTTTAAATTAATATAATTTAATTATATATACACTTATTTTATAGATTTGCAAAATAAAGTAACACTTGATAGTGCTGAGAAATGTTTAATTAAAATTGCAAAGACTATTAAAAAATTAGTGCCTTTCGAAGCTGAAATGCCATCAGAGAATATTGTACCACCCACTGTTGGGAACCAGGCCGACTGTACAAAAGAATCCACCTGCCATATTGATGAGTTTCTTTATGACCATAAAGATCTAGAAGATCTCACTAAACAAGGGAAAATTAAAAGACATTATTGTTTGGATTGTAACTCACGTAATATTCAGGTATTTATAATGAAAATACTATTAGAATCTGTTTCAGTAGAACTTTAAAAAAGGGATTTGTTATCAGTCGTTAACTCTCTACTCCAGAACATAGACCTACTCCATAAGGGAGGTTTTGCCAGTAGTTGCCACGTTCGGCAAGCAGGTTGTCAACCACAGTTAGGCTTTGTTGATGTTTTAAAAGGAGCATTGCTTTTTCTCTCTCTCGACTATTGTTTCCTTAGTCATCTCTAATGACACCATCGGGAAAGGAAAAGCTGCCTAATTTTATGCCAGAAACACATGGCACAGAAAAGTATACAAACAAATAATTGACTTGATTAAAAGACAGTCTGATGTCCAATTGGAGTACAAACAAAAAATAATTTACTTAAGATAAAGAACATAGGCTACATTTTATATCAAACATGCTGATAAAGTCATAGGTAAAAAGGAGTGTGTATATATATACTTAATAAAATATTAAAATGTTTATCTGTTATCCTCAATTCAAACTCTGTTTAGTCATAGATAATGTAAAATACTGTATTAGAAGATAGATGGCGCTGTGTTATACTTATTATGACAAAATCTACAACTATTAAATATTAATAATTTATATATATTTTTTGTATTTATTTCAGGAATTAACTTTAATATCACATTCATTGTCTAGACAGACTTTATTGTATATTTTCAAATTTCTTCTGCCAAAAGACTTGGAAAACAAACAAATTCTGGATTTGGGGTCTAGACTAGGTGCAGTACTTTATGGGGTAAGTGTATTAATTTTTGTATCTTTTATAAGCACAGAATAGTAATTTCTATATCATCATCATCATATTAGCCTTGGGGGGGGGGGGTGCCAGTAGTTGTCACGCTTGTCTGTTTGTATGTACATTTGTACTAGTACCAGTAGCATGCAATAACTATTGCTCCAAATTGGATGTGGTTTACACAGTTATTCATGAAGTTAAATTTTGGTATATGTTTAATCTTGATACATCTTCTAAGGTTATATTTATTTACTTCCAAAATCTATGCATATAAAATTGTGGCAAAAAGCTAATTCCATTAAATAAGTAAACATATTACCTACTTAATTATAATTATTCTTTTGTTTCAGGCTTACTACTTTTCTAATGTGGGAAACATTGTGGGAGTTGAAATAAATAAAGAATGTTGTGATCTGCAAGAAACTATTATTGGCCAATATGCAATGGATACTGACAGGATAAAAGTTATCCACACAGACATTCTAGATAGAAGTGATGTAGTACAGAATTCCGACATCATAGTGGTCAACTGTCTAGATCATTTTGTGGATGTAGATAAACATAAACAAATATGGTATTTCCTTAAGAAACACATTAAAAAAGGAAGTTACTTGATCACAGTCAGAAGTATGGCTGATACATTGATTGCTCTGGATATGTTTGAAGAGCTGTCCAATTGGCTTAACATTTGTAAACCAAATCAATTGGAAAATGAAATATTTTTTGATATTGAAGATTGTAATGAAATATATTTATATACTGTGAATTAAATAATAAACCAGATTTTGTACTGTTCTGAATGTTTAATTCGAATGTAACAAAGCAACATAGTAGCTATATTTAGTAAATTTTTTATTAACTAAAAACTATGTTGAAACAGTTTTAAATGTGTGAGAATGAAATAATAATCTCTCCTATACTATTGATATACTCTGGTATTACAGGTGTTCATAGGCTACAGTAACCACTTACCATCAGGTGGGCCGTATGCTTGTTTGCCACCTCAGTAGTATAAAAAAAAATACCTGGCGAGGCACCATTGGGATATGACGGATGTGAATAAAAAACATGTCAGTTAGCCTGTCATGACGAATTGCACAATAAATAACAACACGTAGAGGTCGACTTGATATATTATGTTGCTAGCAATCGGTTTATTAGACCTCGTTACTAACCATAGATTGAGTATAACATATAAGTTACTAATAATCTCTTTCCTCCGCGTTCATGATATATAGTAATTTATGCTGCAATTATCATTTATATACTTTTTATAAACTACATGCCCGTAGCTAGGAGAGCGGGGGGAGGCATTGAGGGGCAATGCCTTAAAGGGTCCAATGCCCTACCTTAAAATGAAAAGCCTCAGGAAAATTAATAAGTTTCGCTTTTTCGAATTCAGTTATGGCTTCTGCTCTACCAAAACGTTCTTTTGCTCTATCTTAAATATGGGTCTAGCTACGGCCTGATCAACTACCATACATTCATACATACACATTGGATATAAGTGAGAACAGCACATGGCGCTAACATTTTGCAAACCATTACTTATTATTAAAAAAATAATATTACGTATTACGATCGCTTGTTAATCGCTAAATGTGTTTAATTATTTTTCTGCGATAGACAACACTATTTAGTATAATTTTACGATCAAAAGCTAAAACATGGAATTAATTCATTATACTAATTTTAATTCCTAAATCGTTCTGCAAAGGCAACAATATTGCCGTAGCAGTGTTCGTTCAATTATTAATAAATTTTATATGTATCTATATAATATAATAAGTACTTATTTTGAGTTACCTACAATCTACCTCGTACCTTAGGGTACGCGATTAGGGTATGCGCGAAATACATTTGTAAGGAAAGTAAAAGTACAGTAAGGAACGTAGACTTAGTATAAATACAAACATTTTTAAATCGTCATTTTTTTGTGAATGTAGGATTCGGAAAGTTGTTGTCTATCGAGAAGAGACCGCAAGTTACTCTTTTAAACCTTTGTTAACATTATGTATATTTATTTAAATGTACTATGTCTAAAATTATATCGTCATAGTCGTAGAATACTGACGGTTCTATATATGTAATATTTGTCAAATCCGTCAGTATTCTACGACTATGACGATATGGTCGTTAAAAGTCTGAGCATGATCGATTAACACCATGTACATTTGTAATTCAAGTAATCGTTTAGTGTGTAATAGTCTTTGTTCAATAAGTGTTATTTAATAAGAGTTTTAAATTAAAAGGCAGATCCAAAATATGCTTCGGTATCTTATTGTAACATTTAATGTCCATTCCCATAAAATATCTATGAACATTTTCTAAACGAGATTTATATATTGCGAACTGTGATTGCGAAATAAGTATTAGATACTTGACCGTCTACGAATCATTAACTACGCAACTGTAGTTATTCTAATCTTTAATTTATCTAACAATCGTCGTGTTGCCAACCTAAATAATTTTGGTTAGTATTTAGCTTTTTTTTATTTCGTCCAGTATTGCAAACTAAATAGTAGCATTACGCATTTTAATAACATTTAGTCCCCAATCTTACAATTTATTAGTATATATTGCTAATATATACTGATACATTTCATATATTCTCCTTGAAGAGCATCTTGATTAATTTTCAATGAATTAGCTACGATGGGCCAACTCACTTGTTATAATCAATATACAATTAACACATAAAAACAAAATAATGTTAAATTCATAATAAATTTGTGCCCTTTTTTATGAATATAAGAACGTCTATATTCATAAGAAATGGCACAAAAGACTTCGCTATTATTTAATAAATTATATTTCTTAGTTTTATTATAAATTATTGCTATTTGGAAAATTTTTTCACGTAAATATACATTAACGGTTCTGCATTTTATTTAATTAATAAGAGACAGCAATTTAATTTTTTTTTTTATTCTTAGACAAAGCTCTCTAAAATTCAATTTAGCCTGAAAGTTTGGTATTGAGTTGGCAATACCTCCATAGTCTTTTAATTTTATTCTTTCATTTAATTGTAATTTTGAGTTATTCTCATTTGTTTGTTAATTTTATCGGAAATCTTTTTAAATAAATGCGTAAAGAAAAGAATGTGAACGTTATTATTTGTTATTGATTTATCCAGTTTCTATTAAAAAGATGTGGCATGAAGCAAGAAAACAAGAGAGAATGATACGCGGTATGATAGTGGACTATCGACGTAGGGCCGAGCGTCGAAAGGATTTCTATGAAAGAATTGTAAGCACTAATTAAATAAATCGTTTTATATCTCATAAGCTATATTGCTGATTATTTGATTGATACAATATTGCTCAATTCTATTTGTGTTTCAGAAAACCGAGCCCACGCAGTTCTTGCAGTTACACGGGCGACCATGTAGAATTCACCTGGACCCTGCTATCGCCGCAGCTGGCGAAGGCCCTGCTATAATGTTAGTTTTAATTTATTTCATTCTAAGCAATTGATTATAAACAATAAGATCGATTCTAAAGTGCCGTTTCTCTAAACTTCTAAAAACACCAGATGGAGACTACAAAAGTCGTTTGCTTGGGCACCTCTGTCCCATTCGTTTTTCTAATGCGAAACTTTTTTGTTTGTATGGCTGTGTTTCCGTTTGAAAGGTTAGATATGGCAGTGAATTTATATGGTACAGAGGAATAACACCCTAATCCTCAGGAATTGCAATGCATGGGTGGTATTATGAGTGAAACAGTATACTCTGTTATGTGCATGTTACTGCTTATCTTTATAAACTACGGTTACCACTTTCCATCAAGTAAGCCGTCAGCTTGTTTACCATTCTAAGCTTTATAAAAAAAACTTGTCTTTAAAATATTCAAATAGACATCACAGCAGAATCTGTCTTGTAAGGCACAAATTGAACAAAATATTAAGTCAAAATTATTATAATTTTATGTTTATAGTGATCCATAAAACAGTAATTTTGTGAAATTTATAAATTAGATTATAATATTAAGGAATAAGTAAATGATTATTTGATTTACTAAGATAATTTTTTTTTTATATGCAACTTAGAATGCCAAACAAGCTGACGGCCCACCTGATGGAAAGTAATAACCGTCGCCTATAGACATGAGCAGTACCAGGGACATAACAGAGTATACTGTTTCACCCATGATACCCCCCATGTGTTGCCATTCCTGAGGACTCAGATGTTATTCCTCTGTACCCAGTAAATTCACACCATATCCCACCCTTCAAACCGAAACACAGTCATGCAAACACAACTGCTTCACAGTTGAAACACGAATGGGACAGAGGTACCCAAACAATCGATTACCATTTATGTCTGTGACTGCTAACATTTAAATATTGACCAACACTATTACTACCAGAGGCTCCAAAACTATCCATATTAGCCATCAACCTCAGACTGCTAATTTATGAAATATTACAGTTTGGATGTCAAATGATTAACATTGCACTTTGAGCAGCGATCTATTAATTCGTCTGAAGATGTCTCATATAGAGGTATAACATATTTTGCAAAACATACATGAACAAAATTGCAGTCGGAGATAGATAGCTAGAAGCTGGCCATCTCCGACTAGCTAGAAGGTTGTGGAACTTCTAGTAGTAATAGGGGTGATCAGTTTTCAAGTGTTGACATTCTAATGGTAGTAGAAGTAAATAAAATAATTCTAATCATATAACTATTGATATGGACTTCTGCAAGATAATATCTAATTCAGTAAAATCTTTGAAGAAATTAAACCTCAGAATTGCTCCAACATCTTTGGAAAAATTATATACCTACCATTAATATATGTACTTGCGTATTAGTAATATTTTATTAACAGAAGCACTTAAGTAAAATGTCTGACACCATATTAGACTTTAGGTGAAGCAGTGAAAGCATAGAGTATAAAACCATAAGACTCATAGTCCTCAGGAATGACAATACATGAGGTGTATTATGAGTATCACATATGTTCTGTGATGTCTGTTTGTTTACACTTACAATTTTCTAAGTTTCTAAGTTTATTTTATTTTCTAGTCATGTAAAAGAAGCTTAATATTAAAATAAAATATTTTTTATTTTCAATTAAACCTCATTATAGTCTTGATTACATTTTTATAAATAAAAAATCTATTTAAATAAAAGAATATCATCTAAACTAATATTATAAAGATTAAAAAAAAAACTAATATTATAAAAATATGTGATTTTTTGTTTCTTTAAAAATGTCTAAATGATTTTAAAAATAGAAAGTTACATTTTCAGCCAGTAACATTAGCTTTGTTTTATTACAAAAGAAAACCTACCTATTTACCCATGTGAAGCAGGGCTAAGTTATTAACTATAACCAGTCTGTTTTAAAATTAATGTTTGTTTAATTAATAATATTATAGGATGCAGTGGCAAGGTGACCCCAGCAATTTGATAGATCGTTTTGACGTGCGAGCACACTTAGACTACATCCCGGATGTGAAGAATCCAGATATACCACTAGAAGAGCTCAGCCCTGAAGAAAGGCAGTGTAACTATGAGAGGTATAGAATACTGGCACAAAATGCGTTTCTAGGAATAGGTGAGTTGCAACAAAATAATTATAATTTAATTATAATATTTGGAAGGATATTGGAGGAGACTCCAGACAGTTGTTGGATGCAAATGGTGCAAGATCATACTTTGTAGCGTAATATGGGACAAGGAGACACTAGATGGCTTGAAATAAATAAATGAATTTGGTATAATTCTACAATGTTAAGAAGAATAAAATAATTTTGTCATAGACAATATCAGAGGAAGATTTTGTACAAAATCATCTTTATGGATTCCTCTATTTCAAACCTGATGGGAAGTGGTAACCGTCGCCTATATACATGAACAGATCCTTAACTACTTGCGAAACTTAAAAAAGCTGTGCTTGTATGAAGAGTCATCTCGATTGATACACTTGCCTGTTTTGTTCCCAGGTGAAGACAAATTCCTCCAACAGCTGGCAATAGAAGAGCAATTTGGAGTAACAATCGAAGAGAAGGAAATGCAGAAGGAGAAGCTAAATGAAAAGAAAGGCACTGGTGCCGCGATAGGCTACAATTATAACGATCCAGGCGCGCAACCCTCTAGCTCTAACGGTAGATTCAGCATTACTGTTAAACTGCAAGTGATTGAAGGATAGTCGGGGTTATGGGGTAGTTTATGGGGACAATGGTTGGATAATTTCATGGCACTGAGTATTCAATTACAGGCCCGGAAGTTAAGAAAGTGGAGCAACAAAAAGATTCAGATGATGATTCCGATTTCGAAATCATTGATGTGGATTTAAGTATTGATGTCAACAAGATGGAGGCTTCACAGGTCAGTTTCAGTCTTTCTATTTGTTTTTTTTTGTTTGTTATTTTTTGTTAAGATTTTAATACACCTGGGTGATTATGCTAGTCTCATAGGAGACGTCTGCACATAAGGTGCTATTTAATTATAAACCAATATTCCTGATCTTTAATGTAGTCATACATCATCAGTAACACATAAGTTGTCAATTTATTATCTTAGATTCAATAAATAATCTCTTCATTATCTCAGCATTCTCAGCCTTTTTTTTACATTTTGGGGGGAAAGGAAAAGGAAATATACCCAACCAGGTCGACCTCCTCGCGGTTCCCCCTGGAAACTATCATGGTTAATTCCTGATGAATTCATCATGACGGGCTGACTGACCTGTTTTCATTCTCATCGATCACCCTTCACTGGTGCTCCGCCAGCGTATCCCGTTAGCGCAGGCGGGGTTACCATACCATTTTCACCCATAAAAAAAATACCGCATCAAGGTTGACCTAAACATGATTACATAAATCATGAGGGCAGAAGGGATTAGACCCATAAAAAAAGCCCTTATTTACAGATATAAAAAAATAAAGACATTTTATAGTTATAAAAATATAGTCTTTAACATTAAGTTTCTGAAGCGCTATTTCTCTAAACCAATCTCTTAACTTATAATTTTATTTTTCATAGTTTCACGAAATCACTATTTTACGAACCACCATATGTTTATAATAATCTTGACTTAAATTTGTTAGAAATTTAGTTCATATTGGTTCTTAGAATAAAGAATTAAATATCAAATTGATATTTTAATTTACAAATATTTTACCATATTATGTCCACCATGAACACAGAAGAACTAAAGTAACTAATTCAATTTCGATTTCAAAGCCAAATATTTGTTAACCAGAAATTATAAATAAACTATTACTAGTTACGTTGCACACCAGTCACTGGGTCAACATATCCTTTCTACATAAAGGCCTCCTCCAGCGTCTTTCATATTTTTCTATGTCTTACTTTTTTTTTATATTAATGGATAATAATGGAATACTAACTAACCCCACCCGCGCTATCGGTATACACCGGCGGGGCACCAGTGAAGGATGATAGATGAGGATGAAGCAGGTCAGTTAGCCCATCGTGATGTATTCAACAAGAATTGTTCACGATGGTTTCCAAAGGGAACCACGTGGAGGTCGACCTAATAAGGTATATTGCTAGCAATGGGGCTGTCAAACTCCATTGCTAACAATCCTTTTTCCCCCTCTATCTCTTACTGTCCTCAGCCATAATGTACTCGCAACACTTGATCTCATCCGATCATCAAGTCAAGTCAATCATTTATTTGCATAAACGTAGGTCACAAATTACATGATATTATATATAGAAACAGTTAAGATTGCTATGTTCCGTTATTGGGCATACAAATATAAATCCTTTACCATCTTTTATATTGGCGGCGTCTTTTCCTTTTAATTCTGTAACGAGGAATCCATTCTTTTACAGTATTAGTAAATTTTTTTTTATACAACTTAGAATGGCAAACAAGCTGACGGCCCACCTGATGGAAAGTGGTAACCGTCGCCATGCAAACACAACTGCTTCACGGTTGAAACACGAATGGGACAGAGGTACCCAAGCAAACGACTTTTGTACAGTCTTCCTCTTAATATATGACCTACCTATCTCAGCTTCAGTCTTTTGATTTTAGTTGTGGCCTCTTTTCATCTTGTTCTAGATCTTAGCTCTATAGCTCTTTTTTTTGTCTATTCTTGTGTAACTTAATATGCTCTTTTCAATGCTCCTTTGGCATGTTAAAAGTTTTTGAATATTTTCGAATGGTCAAGCATGTTTGACTGCCAATGTTAGTAACTAATAGGGGTGGGTAATTAATTAATAAATAGCAATATCAGATATATATTTTAGTTACAATATTTATATACTAATCCAATAAATTGAAAGTCTTATCTGAAAAAAATATTGGATAACAGACTTTTAACATATTCGAAAATAGATACCCGACCTATATGGGCGATATCAAAATGGGTAACCTTTTACCTGCTACTAATATCCAGAGAAAAGAGGATAGGTACCTATCCATATCACCCATATCTAATAACTAAAGTGGTATAGTCTAAAGCAGGGGTTACCAAACTTATTTTGTCTACTGCCCACTTTGAGAATAAATTATTTTTTAGCGCCCACATTTTTTCACCTACTTAAAAACCACTGTTACTTCAAAATCAACAAATCACCCCTCAAGCCTCTACACAATGCCCCCATTTTTTTTCTGGGTCCTTACCATTTAGGCCTGCAGCGCCCACATCGTCCTTCACTGACGTCAGCTATCATAAATCAGTGCAGGGTTAATTTTATATGGGAAATAATGAAATGCTGGTGGAACACCAGTGATGAATTCTGGTGAATTGGCCTTCGTGATGATTAACAATAATTAAGATTGTTTTCCACAAAAAAAAAATCGACTTCGAACTTGGCAAAACCCTCTATTTTTATATAAAACTAAAACTGAACCGATTTTAATAAAATTTCTATGGGACCAATTTAAAAGTACATACTTTCAGTTAAAAAAAAAAGAATTTTCCAAATCAGTTTGTAAATGGCGGAATTATGAGGTAACAACAGAATTGAGAACCTCCTTTTTTGATGTCGGTTGAAAATCAACCATATGATTTTTAGGGGATGTACATACCGATGGATTGTTATGTGGCCCCGATATAGAATGAGCCGCCCATTGCTTTTTTTTTTGGGATCGTAACAGGCGACTAACGTCGAGGGACAGGCAGGAGCGACCCTCTTAAAACATCATCGAGGCCTAACTGTGGTTGCTAATTCGTCTGCCAAGCGTGGCAACTACTGGCAAAATTTTTCTTTTGGATATCCTTGTGTCCAGCAGTGGACAGTTAACGGCTGATATAATGATTGTGATGAGAAAGAATACATATATTGAAGTAAACCTGATTTTTAACTGGTAACAATGAGGCTGCTAGATCCTTGTAGCAGCATCTCCTCCCCTCCTCCGCTAACGAGGTTATCATTCCATTATTTATTATTCATTAAACGAATGGTAGTAACATGTAAATAAGTACAGGCGCACGAGCTGAACGCGGTGGGCCCTCAATTCGGCATGGCGGGCTGCGACCTGTTCTCATTTCTGACCGGCGACGCGGACGACGCCGAGCACCAGAAGCAGTTGCTGCGCGAGGAGAAGGAGAAGGCAATGTTCTCTGGACGGAAGAGTAGGAGGGAGAGGCGAGCTCATCGGTGAGTGTACAGTTGTATGAGATTAGAGTTTTTTTTAATACTACTATGATGGCAAATAAGCATACGGCCCGTCTGATTGTAAACGGGGATACCCTAGCCTCTAGACGTCTGTAACCACCAGGAGTGTTATGCATGTGTTGGCGACCCTAAAGAGAACTTAATACGCCCTTTTTGAAGAACTCCATATTGTAATCAGAGTTCCACTCTGAGTTTGTTACACGCGTCCGTGTAGCCTAACTTCAGGCTGTAGCTGAAAATCAGTGCTTTGCTGTTAAGCAAAATTATCACTGAGCTATCAAAGTCGATGGCTTGGGTACCTCTGTCCCATTCGTGTTTCAACCGTGAAGCAGTTGTGTTTGCATGACTGTGTTTCGGTTTAAAGGGTGGGATATGGCGTGAATTTACTGGGTACAGAGGAATAACACCTGAGTCCTCAGGAATGGCAACGCATGGGGGGTATCATGGGTGAAACAGTATACTCTGTTATGTCCATGGTACTGCTCATGTCTATAGGCGACGGTCACCACTTTCCATAAGGTGGGCCGTCAGCTTGTTTGCCATTCTAAGTTGTAATAAAAAGTCAAATAGATGGGCCCAAAGAGTAGAAAACGATAAAGTATATATCACATTAAAATCAATACGATTGTCACTCTAAAATAAAGGAATACATTATAGAAGCTTGATTTTAAACGTTTTTTCATCTGTAAAGCTGTTAGTTGCCATGCGTATCCGGCATAAAATGGGCCACTTCTTCCTTTCCGGTAGGTGTCGAAAGAGGCGACTAAGGCTATTTAATAGTAGAGGGATGGTCAGTAGCGTTTCTCTTAAAACATCACCAAAATCTAACTGCGGTTACCAACTCACTTGCCAAACGTGGCAACTACTGGTAAAACCCCTCTTATTGAGAAGGCTTTTAGGCCCAATTATTAATAATCCCTTCATCCTTAGCGACAAGAAGTTAGCGACCCGCGTGGCTAGTCCGCCTCACTACGCGGCGCCGGGCGGCAGCGTGACGGGCGTGGCGAGCGTGGCGAGTGTGGCACACGGCGCTCGCAGCCGCAGCGCCAGCAGCGGCTCCCCAGAGCCACCCGGGGACATACAGTTCATCACCTCCTTCGGTGGAGATGATGAAGAAACCAAGCCAGGTGATAAACAACCCTTTGATAACATTGTATTTAGTGATTATAACAACCGTATTAATGTAGCGGTTTATAGCACCACATGTTACAAAGGTCGCAGGTTCGATTCCCATTTGTATTTGTGATTGTCTTTTATATATACATATATTCCTTATTGCACTAGAACAAAAGATACAGTGATTAGTTTAACAGTTTGTTAGCAAGGGTGGGTTATTATTATTTTTTTATGGATGACAAGAGAACGGTAACCCCGCCCGCATTAACGGTATACGCCGGCAGGGCACCAGTGAAGGGTAATAGATGAGAATGAAAACAGGCCAGTTAGCCCATCATGATGAATTCATCAGGAATTAACCATGATAGTTTCCAGGGGGAACCGCGAGGCGGTCGACCTGGTTGGGTATATTGCTAGCAATGGGATTCTCAGTCTCCAATACTAACAATCCCTTTATATGTACATTGGCGTATTTAATGATCTTATGGTTAATTAATAAAGGCGTCATATGTACTCTTAAGACATGTCTTTGGGAAGTTTCGCTTGTATCCTATAATCCAGTTGTGGGCACCAGACAATTCTAAGGTGGGCACGACCTATTCGGCCCCCATTTACATACACTATGATCGTAACTCTTGACAGCGATGTTGTAATTAAAAAAAAAAAAAGTGTATTGTGCTTTTTTTTCTACATAATCAAACAACTTCAAAAAGTAGCAGGTTTTGAAATCGGTTGTATTCTTTATTATGTTTGTTATCCAATAGTTCCATCAATTGTAAACTGATGGAAAAACAAATCTTTTTATATATGATATAACTGCTTTATATTATTCTCAATTTCGTGTATAATATAGTATATATCATATATGTGTAAGTATATTTGTTATTCATATATATTTATTCGTTTATATATGTAATTTTAGTATGTATGTATATCAATAATTAGTAGTGCCGCATTCGAGTATTCTGACACTTCCCTACGGTTGACTGGGAGAGAATGCTTTTAGCATTAAGTCCGCTATGTACATATACATGTACTAATGAATAAATAATAAATAATAATAATATTTTTAAGGATATAATATAAGATTGGTCTAATAGAAATTTTATCAAAATAAGCGATTTTGAGTAGTTTAGTTTTTAAAATAAAATAACTGGTGTGGCCACAATTTAAGTCGGTTTTTGTTTGTTCAATACAATTATAATATGACAAATACATAATATTATTAATACATTTATATGAACATTTTGATAGTTTTTTATATTTTTTCTTTTTGTCTTTATAGTCGCGCCACCAAAACCGCTGTACGCCGATAAATTGAAGCAAAATTTGAAGAAAGAAATGCTGTACTCTGAAGTTGCTCGGAGATCAAAACCGAGGTAAATACATATAATTATTACTAATATTTTTCCTTTCCTATTAATTCATATGTGTGTTAGCTTTCATTATCATCATCATCATCATCATATCAGCCTTTAACTGTCCTCTGCTGAGTATCAGCCTCTCCATTGGGGAGTTTTGCTAATAATTGCCACACTTTTTTATACAACTTAGAATGGCAAACAAGCTGACGGCCCACCTGATAGAAAGTGGTAACCGTAGCCTATAGACATGAGCAGTACCATGGACGTAACAGAGTATACTGTTTCGCCCATGATACCCCCCATGCGTTGCCATTCCTGAGGACTCGGGTGTTATTCCTATGCACCCTGTAAATTCACGCCATATCCCACCCTTCAAACCGAAACAGCCATGTAAACACAACTGCTTTGGCAGATGGATTGGCAAATGCAGTTAGGCTTTGGAGATATTTTAGGAGGCATGTTGCTGCCCATCCCTCGCTCTCCCTTAGTCACCTCTTACAATACCCACAAGAAAGGAAGGGATGGCCTATTCTATGCCGGAACCACACGGGGAAGCAATGCAAAGTGGCAACAAGACAAAGTGTAAACTATAATAAAGGAAAAAAAACAAATAAAATAGATATTTTATAAAAATTACACCAAATTTTAAATTAAAACTTAAGGAACACAACTGTAAATATGTAGCTATAGTAGTTTCTGGGACAAATATATAATAGATAAATGGAAAAATAACATTTCAAAAAAATATTGAATGTCTCAGAGAAAATGATTGTTGACCCCTTAAAGAAAGATAAAAATATGTACAGGAAGAAATCAGAAATCTTGTAATTGTGAATAATTAATTCAGCATAACAGACATCTGCCCGTTACTGAACATAGAACTCCTACAAATTGTTTTTTTTTTTTTTTTAATGGATGGTAATGGTAACTCCGCCTGCGCTAACGAGCATACATAAAGTATATGCTGGCGAGGCACCCGGTAGGAATGATAGGTGAGAATAAAAATCAAATCAAATCATATTTATTCGCTTGCTAAATGGTACAATAATAAGTTACATATACAGGTACATAACATGCAGCACCCCCCAGAGGTATGCAAATGTTAAACTGTATTTAGTCTACATTATATTACAATTATAAAAGTCCAAACATTTTCCAAATTACAATATTCTTTATGTCAGATTCTCATATAAAATTATGGTTTATATTTTAAGACAGATTAGTTAGCCCGTCGTGATGAATACACTTGGAATTCAGCACCAATTTCAAGGGGGACCATGCGAAGGTCGACCTGACTGAGTATATTGCTAGAATGGGACTAGTAGTCCGCATTACTAACAATCCCTTCCCCCCATATAATGTTAGATTAAGAGAAGTTTAGAGAAATAGCGTCTCAGAATCGGCCTCAAAATATGTAGATAATACCGTTCTATCTATAATAAATATATGGATTGATATGTATTGGTGTATGTAGGCAATCATCGTACGAAGAGAGATTCCAAGTTCGGCCGCAAATGGGACCGCACGGGCCGCCGGCGCGGTCGCGGTCACGCTCGAACACGCGCCTGCGATCGCGTTCTCGATCGCTGTCGCGTTCGCGGAGAAGGTCCCGTTCGCGCTCGCGGTCCCGGGCCATGTCGAGATCACGATCGCGGTCGTACACTCCGTACCGGTCGATGTCGAGGTCGAGATCAAGGTCAAGGTCGCGGACGACGTCAAGCTCAAGGTCACACAATCACAGGGACAAACGGTCTCGCAGCCCGCAAAAGTTTGTATTTTCAAATTAATAAAGGCTTAGAGAAAATGGCAATTTGCTCATTTCTAAAACGTTTCAAAATCTATAATAGTCTGTGAAATAATTTCTTTCAAAAGTGTATTTTAGAAATAATTTATTAAAAAACACAATTAAAAGTAACAACTATTTATTCTAATTATGACCTTGACACTTTTATTACATGCAATTTTTTTTATACAAAAATGTGTATTCTAAAAATTGTTGTGTCAGCCGTTGATTTTTTTTTTTTAATCTCGAAGTAAGCATACTCGTTATTACGAGTCATATCATATATTTATGATTTTCATATTTTAATATTTCAACCCCAATATTTTATTTTGACTTTTTTGAGTCATGATTTTTTATTAAAACGAAAATTGCTTATATATATTGAGTTTCTCTGGACATTAGTGCCGGAAAAAAGGAAATCACCCTTTTCGATATCGCCAATATCGGTCGGTTATCTATTTTCGAATATGTAAAAAGATTTTTAACATATTTGTTGTTGGACCAGCATGTTTTTTTTATTTTTTTACAACTTAGAATGGCAAACAAGCTGACGGCCCACCTGATGGAAAGTGGTAACCGTCGCCTATAGACATGAGCACTAGCATGGACATAACAGCGTATACTGTTTCGCCCATGATACCCCCCATGCGTTGCCATTACTGAGGACTCAGGATAGATATTGTAACTAAAATATAAAGATATTGCTATATATATATCTCACCCTTAATACATAAAACTTAAATATCTCTTTCTATAAATTATATTTATTATATTGAATTTTTTATTGTATTACAAGTGCTTAGTAAGTAACCCTGCGGAGTGAGACCCTGGTGACCTGTAATACAGGTATTCCTATACCTATCTCAGGCACCGGTCTCTCACAATTATATTTATAATTTGTTTAATACGAGGTTTGTCCGGAAAGTACGTATAAAAGTTTTTTAAAAATTTTATTTTACAATTATTCAGGTAAATCAATTTTATCCCCTTCAAAGTACTCCCCCTGTGACATAATGCACTTGTGCCAACGCCGTTTCCACTGTGAGAAGGCTCCTTGAAAGTCCTCTGGTTGTAGGTTTCTCAGCTGCCCCGTCGTAGCTTTTTTTATCTCATTTATGTCCCCCAAATGCCGCCCCCGAAGTACCAATTTGGTTTTTGGGAACAAGAAGAAGTCACACGGGGCCAAATCCGGCGAATAGGGGGGTGTTCGGTCACCGTAATGGAATTTTTACTCAAAAACTCACGGACAACAAGAGAGGTGTGGGCAGGGGCATTGTCGTGGTGAAGAATCCAACGCCCCTCTCGCGCCAATTCTGGACGAACTCGTGCCACACGAGCTTTGAGGCGTCTGAGCACATCGACGTAGAATTTTCCATCAACTGTCTGGCCTGGAGGGACGAATTCTTGATGGACAATCCCCCGAACATCGAAAAAAACAATCAACATTGTCTTGACATTTGAGCGGGATTTTCTTGATTTTTTTGTTCGTGGTTCCCCGGATGTCTTATCGAATTAGATCGGCAAAAATTTCACGGCCATTCTTGCCGAGTTTCGAGAGAAACTTGATTACGACGCGCTGCTCTTCGACGGAAGCGGGCTCCATGCCGACGGGGTTTCGTTAAGAGGTAACTTCACAGATGGCGTGACAAGCCAGTTCGCACCGCACGGCGGTCAGACCAGAACTGAAGCATTGTTAGGGACATAAGGAAGGGGTCCTGCGCTTACCTGGCCTCCCCACTCCTCTTTCTCGCATTCCAGAACACTTTTATACGAACTTTCCGGACAGACCTCGTATAAGCATTGTATTTCACTGTAATGAATTGTGAAGAGAAATAAATCTGTTTATTATTATTATTATTATTATTATACATAACTAATAATATTGTATTTGCTATTTGCAGCCAAGCCAGTGGCTATAACAACCGTAATTACTCCAGATCGATGTCATTCGAAAGGTAAGCCGTTTGGCCAGTTTTATATGGGAGCTAGCTGACCCGGCAAACGTTGGTTTTGCTCCCTACTGCCACCTACCGGGTCGATTCTTTTTTATCGGGATAAAATTATCCTCTCTCTTGAGAGACTGCACTCTCTCTGTCTTGAGACAGTGCACATTTACAAAATTTTAATTGAAATCGGTCGAGCGATTTCGAAGATTAACGTGATTTACCTAATATGTATATATATATATATATATATACATACATTATAAATTTTTATAAATATTTTTATTTCTGGACACTTGGCTATGTTTTTTTTTTATATTTTCAACCAACTTCAAAAAGAAAGTTCTCAGTTTGTTTGTATATTTTTTTATGTTTGTTACCTCATAATTCTGTCAGTTGTCTGTCGATTTAAAAACTTTTTTTTTGTCTAAAAGGATAGACTTACTGATTTGTTCAATCAAAACAATTAAAGTTGGATTTTTTTTGTGGAACACCATCTCATTAAGTATATGTATGTATATAATATATTCCATTTTGTATACTTTTGTTTTTACTTTATCTATACGGTTTTAATATATGATTTATCAAAACAACGAGTTTAATTTTAACAAACGAAATTTTTGGCGAATTTAAGTTTAATTGCATAAAAGTGAGTGTATACAATGATCTCGTGTAAATCCATTGCTTGTTTATGTGTACAGCGGTGTTGGTGGCGGGGGTGGTGACCGCAGCGAACAGCGGGCGGCGGTGCCGCGCTACTACGGCCGCAGGAAGGAGGACCAGTCATCCAGCGAGCTGTCCGAGTCCGACTCCAGCGGCTCGCCCGCTGACGACAAAGACAGGTAGTGGCATCTGTCTTATACTAAATGTCATTAATACAGGCCAAGGTTAAGGTCAAGGTCACACAACCACATGAACATATTGTACCAGTGTAGTAACGGAAGCAATTCCAAACCAACAAGTGTAAACCAGTAAATATACTGTGTTGGGGAGGGGAGCGGGAGGGGCGAGGGGGGAAGATAGTAATGGATCTATGTTGTTTTATATTGCGGGGCATTATATATATATATATATATATATATATATATATATATATATATATATATATATATATATATATATATATATATATATACATATATATATATATATATATACATATATACACCTATCCCCCGATTTACACGGTAGATACGTTCCTGAGAAAAACGTGTAAATCGAAAATAAAAATTTTCAAGTTAAAACCGTGTAAATCGAAAAGCTTGCAGAAAATGCATAATTTTGCTATTTAACAGTTGTGATTTTTTTCAATATTTTTATTGTAGGTGATTTTTTTCAATATTTTTATTGTAATAGTTCTTATTGTAGCTTCGTTCATGTTACATGATTTTGCAACATCTACTACTCTATCTCCCTTTCGTAAGCGATCCAAAATTTCGATTTTAGTTTCTAAAGAAATAACTTTTCTTTTAACTTCTTTCGACATTATAAGCCTATAATTTTTTTTTATTTATGTTTATTTATAAAAATCTTAATTATGCACTCACTTGTAATTTACGAATATGAAAAATTAAATCTTTCTGACACTGTGAAACTTTCACTCAAATACAATTTTCCGTAGATAAAACTTTAATTTTATACGAAGAAATACAGACACATGTGCAGCAAGTCAGCACATAAGCTCGGGATTCCCCGTGAGATGTGTACACAGCGCACGTGTTCAAACACAGTAGCATTTAGTAGAGTGCGATAAAAACAAAAAAAAAAAAACTTATTTGGAAAACCGTGTAAAAGCGAAAACGTCTAAAACAAGTACCGTGTAAATCGGGGGATAGGTGTATATATACACAATGCTCCACTAGTGTATACCTATAAGGCAAGGCGAAGTTACCATTCCATTTTCATCCATTAAAAAAATACTACTCTTTTCCAAGTCCCAAACCACAGTTCGATAGGCAGTTTCAGCTGAGAAGAACGGACAAGTAACACAGCTGTAGTTTTTTTTTTTCTCAAATATAAGTTTACAAGAAAAAAATATGAATGGATAAAATAAATATGTTATATTATGACGATGAACTTTAGATCAAATCCACCTGCCTAGAATCCTTAGAATCCAGCATAAGTAGAGTACGAGCGACACGAACTCAAGTACCGCCAGTATAAGTAGTATATTTGTTCGTTTGATATTTAAACACACATGTCGCCGGTCGGCGCGAAAATTTGAATTAGATTTATTATTAAGTTAATGGGGATATATTATTACTAATATAATAATTTATCAAAAAAAAAATGATTTTTTAATAATATTCCAGAAAATATTATAAATATAAAGACACTGAGACAATTTAAGAGCACATTGTACAAATGACTTTTGGACAAGTGTCATTACTCAATTAAGGACTTGTTGGATTAGAAAATAATTCCACTTTATAAGCACATATTTTGTCATTACTTTAAAAAAAATTACCATAAATATTAAAATTGTGCATGCCATTGTTTTGGCAAAACACGCCTGTTCCTAACATATTATTACTTTTTAGGTGGAATGGGATTGTTAGTAATGGAGACTGAGAATCCCATTGCTAGCAATATACCCAACCAGGTCGACCTCCTCGCGGTTCTCCCTGGAAACTATCATGGTTAATTCCTGATGAATTCATCATGATGGGCTAACTTTCCTGTTTTCATTCTCATCTATCACCCTTCACTGGTGCTCCGTCAGCGTATCCCGTTAGCGCAGGCGGGGTTATTATACCATTTTCACCCATCAAAAAAAAAAAACATATTATTACTACCATCTGTATACTGTGTTTTTCAGCAAATAAATTATATTTTTATATTATAATGGATAAAGAATTTTTTTTTAATCCCACCCGTGCTATTGGTATACACCGGCGGGGCACCAGTGGAGGATGATAGGTGAGGATGAAGTAGGTCAGTCAGCCCATCGTGACTAATTGTTCACAACAAGAATTGTTCACAATGGTTTCCAGGGGGAACCACGTGGAGGTCGACCTAATAAGGTATATTGCTAGCAATGGGGCTGTCAAACTCCATTGCTAACAATCCTTTTCCCCCCGAATAAAGAAATTAGGAGAAGAAGTCAGAACTCACTATAACAAACATTGTATTTATTTAATTTTATTTTAATTTAATTTACAGTATTAATTTGGATATTGTTTCTCGCATTTCAGATCGGGGGTTGGCAATAAATGCAACACAAACCAGAATCAGTTACGATTGTGTGGACCCAGCTCCAAAGTCAGTAAGAATCATTTGTTTACACACTGTATGCTTACGTTTTAGCACTTTTTTGCAAGTAGTTGGTCCGTAACGGCAGCGACCGCCCGCCGCTTACTTTACAATGTTGGTATTGTTTGCCATTCTAATATATATATATATAAAAAAGAAAAACTATACTATACTAGAGATCCGACCAGAATTTGCACGAATAGACAGAAATTTCGAACATCAATACAATGAAAAAAAAAAAAAAAGATTTCAGCCAATTTAACTGATCGGTTATTTATGAGGTTCTATGAGGCTATCAACACAAACAAGGCTTCCTGATTAGTTCGTATCAATTCGCAAATTCAGGTTCCAACAGTCATAGTTGATTAAAAATTTTTGGACACTACATCTGTATTCTTGATATTGGAATTTAATCACTAAGATTGTTTATTTAAAATTGAATTTAGTAAAATCCTTAATTTGTCTTTGAAAAACAAATTTATATACATTTATATACCATATTGAAGTACAATGGAGTTACAAATAATTAGTTTTAATTATAAATTACAATAATACAACTGAGATTATATTATTTATTGTATTTATTTCATTTCTTATTTGTAAATTAATGTATTAGTGAATAATGGTAATTATAAAGTTTAATTTTTAAATGTTTCATAAGCACACGTTATATTTTAATGTAACAACTACTAGTTTAACTTATGTGTAATTAGATCGATAAGGCTCGACTAGTTTCGGGATTAATTCGTGATACTTAGTCATGGGTAGCTGTAACGCGAGCGCGAGTCTGACTATGTCGAGCTTTCTCGATCCAATTACACGTATGTTAAACCGATAGTTATTATTTTAATAATTATTATATTAAAATATAATTATTAAAATTGTCTTTCTGATATTTTTTTTTAAATTCTTTTAAATTATTCCTAGTACTTATTAAAATATAGATAAATTATATTTTTTTTTTATAAAATTCATTTTAATAAGACATTTAAGTAATCAGTAATAAATATTATCGAATATATCCCTTATCAAATTTAGTTAAAGTAACCCACCATATGATTAAGTTTACACTTCTACAATATTACACTTTCCAAATACAAATTTAATTATCTATATGTTTTAATATATGTTATATACATATATAATATTGTATTATATGTCTGTATTTGATCATAACCACAAGTATACAGGGCCGCACTCGGTAGAATGGGCTCTATAAGTGATATGGGTTATAAACTTGACATATTTCGACAGGGCCCTTCGCGTGAGACGCTGACGCTGAAAGAGAAACTGAAGAGGAAAATGCAGGCACAGTTGACAAAGCAGTGTGAGTTGTATAAATTGCTTTTAAACTATCTTTATATTTGCTCGTTACTTGGTCATCAGACTATCAGTGTTTTGCTCTTTTGAGAGCAAAGCAATAAACTGAGTTGTGACCATTTTGTGTTACTGTGACACATGCATGAAGGAAATAAAAGGAAATTGTTGTTTTATATATTTTGCTTTTTTTTTATTTTCATTCTTTTATCTCTTTTACTGTGTATTATGTGTATGTTTGTATTTTTTTTAATGGATGATAATGGAATGGTAACCCCACCCGCGCTATCGGTATACACCGGCGGTGCACCAGTGAGGGATGATAGATGAGGATGAAGCAGGTCAGTTAGCCCATCGTGACGAATTCAACAAGAATTAGGTAATTAGTTAGACCTTTAGGAACACAGCTGTGAAAGTCGCGTCCAATTTGGTGCAGTAGTTTTTGCTTGATGTTAGAACAAACACACAGATAGACAAAACTTCTAAAAGTTGTTTTAGTTTCTTTTTTTTTATTGTAGTAAAATTGTTTACGTCAATATTTTAAATCTCTTATATATATATAAATGTTGTCAAATTACGATTGTATTATTATATTTGAGAACCGTCATAACGTTAGTTTGATGCAGTGTGGCAACTTTGCAATTCATTGTCAATTTTCCTAAATAATTTAATATTTTTTTAACATTTCTAATTAATTATATAAAATGTTCTCTGCTAGAGATTTATGAAACGTTAATTTATGTAAGATAGTATTTCTATTAAGTTGTAGCTAAAACTTGGGATTTTGCGCGTGAAAGAGCGGTAGACAAATTCCAAAGCAAAATCTAAAGTGGGTGCAAAGTTTTTAGTGGTAGGTTTATATGTAATGATGGGGGGTAAAGTTTTAGTTCGGTGGCTGTGCACTGTTTGCGTTTTTTTTTTATACAACTTAGAATGGCAAACAAGCTGACGGTCCACCTGATGGAAAGTGGTAATCGTCGCCTATAGACATGAGCAGTACCATGGACATAACAGAGTATACTGTTTCGCCCACGATACCCCCCATGCGTTGCCATTCCTGAGGACTCAGGTGTTATTCCTCTATACCTTGTAAAATCACGCCATATCGCCCCATATACCCTTCAAACCGAAACAGCCATGCAAACACAACTGCTTCGCGATAGAAACACGAATGGGACAGAGGTGGCCAAGCAATCGATTTTTATACAAAGTGTTCCTCTGGTAAAACGTGTGTATGTCGTGATGTTACAGTGCGGCGCGACCAGCGCGCGGCGGCAGCGCGCGCAGGCCGCGAGGCGCGGCGGCGGGCGGCGCGCGACCGCGACATGCGCCAGCTGGCCATCAAGCTGCGGCGCCGGTACGTAACACTCTTACTGCTCCTCACTCACTCCCTCTCACTCCCCTCTCTCTTTTTCTCTCTCTTCTCTCCGCCCTCCCGTCATTCCATCTCTTTCTTCTTCCCTCTCTTACTCTTCCCCTTCTCGTACACTCCCTCCTCTGTCTCCTCTCCCTCTCTTCCCCGCTCTAACAACCTTTCTCTCCCTATCTCCCCCCCTCTCTTTATCAACTGTAGGCGACGCACTACGATTTTAGTTTATTTTATTATTATTTGTACTTTTTTACTTGTATACCAATATAAATGTACCCACTTATTTAATACAGTCCATTATAAATAAAAATTTAAAATACTGAGGGTACACACTATACTTATAAAACTAGAGTAACCTTTTCCTTGCTTAGTGCGTGCTCTGTCAGTGCATAGGCAGCATCTGAAAATCGGTTTTTTTATTTTGCATCCTTTATAATCAGCATTTCTTTTTCCCCTCCATATCTCTCTCCTTTCGCACCCTCTTCATTCAACTATCTAATCTTTCCATTTCTCTAAAATAAAATAATCTTGAAATGTATAATACAATTCTATAACTAAATTTTAATTCCATTGTCTACTTGAAGGAACCCACAAGAAACTACAGACTACTCAAGGAAATTGACGAAATAAATTTTAATTTTATTCAAATACAGTAATGATAATTGATATACAAGTGAAAGCAAAATTGTTTATGTTCTTTTAATACAATGTTCAGTCCAATGAAACTGAACATCTCATGTCAATATTTTAGTATAGAAAACACTAAGTTTATATCGTTATTTGATCCATACTTCTTTAGGAATAATATTTAATTACACTGGTGAAGCACTACCTTAGAAAGATTACATTTATATTTCACCCTGGTGAAGTCTACCAAAATTATTACACATATATATAAAAGGTTTCTAACTTGTAGCCTAACTTCAGGCTGCAGCCGGAAATCAGTGCTTTGCTGTTAAGCAAAACTATCACTGAGCTGTAGCCTATTCGGGTCACTGCAACACACTTGGCGAAAACATATTTTCGTATTTTATCTTTTGTTTTATATTTAAAAATGTGTATTTAATTTGATTGTATGAACTCATCTGTTGATTTACGTGTGTCATAAATGGCTCAAATATAGTGTTTATCTATCTATCTATTCTATATAATAATCACTACATAGTATAAAACAAAGTCGCTGTCGCTGTCTGTCCGTCCCTATATAATTCAAATGAAAATTTCCGAAGATATTACAGATTTAAAATGCAGGGACATAGCGTTTTGGCGGTACCAGCCCGGCCGGCGGCGCGTGCCGCACTTTGCCCTATAGAACTTTATCTTGTTTATATTGTCTAATGATAAAAAAGCTGTAAACGTTGTTTATAAGGACATTCTGTAGTAGGTAGGTATATTTAGTATCAGCATTGCACCCGTGCGAAGCCGGGGCGGGTCGCTAGTAAATAAATAAATACTAACAATATCCTTCACTAGACGATTTAATTAGATATCATTCCGTTTCATCGTGTTTTAGAGAGCTTTCTCCACGAAATATGTACTATGTAGTCAATCAGCAGTTTGTACCAATTCAGATTATTTGTAACTCTGTTGCAGACAACGCGAGATGAGGCACCAGCAGAATAGGAGGTCGAGCGACGAGTTATCGGACCGCAGTCGCAGTAGGTCGTCGTCAAGGTACTTGTATACACCACAAATCTTTTTGTAACACGGGGGGCAAACAAGCATGCGGCTCACCTGATGATAAGTGACTACCGCCTCCCGTGATCACCCACAATACCAGAGGCATTGCAGGTGTGCTGCCGGCGTTTTATAAAATAATATGCTTCTTTTCTTGATTGTTTTTTTTTTTATTTTTTTTTTATACAACTTAGAATGGCGAACAAGCTAACGGCCAACCTGATGGAAAGTGGTAACCGTCGCCTATAGACATGAGTAGTACCATGAACATAGCAGAGTATACTGTTTCGCCCATGATACCCCCCATGCATTCCCATTCCTGAGGACTCAGGTGTTATTCCTCTGTACCCAGTAAATTCACACCATATCCCACCTTTCAAATCGAAACACAGCCATGCAAACACAACTGCTTCACGGATGAAACATTAATGGAACAGAGGTAGCCAAGCAATCGACTTTTGTACAAAGTCTCCCTCTGGTGAGGGAGAAAGGTTATGAGGTCGTATATAACGTATATAAGGGGAAACCATAGGCGTATTTAGAGGGGGGTTAGGCTTATCCAATCCGAAATCGTCAGATGTCTACTCCAGAATGCGAGACTTCATAAAGTTATATCTTATATGACATATTGCACCTTCTTAAACGGTTTTTTTTTTAATGGATGATAATGAAATGGTGGTCCCGCCTGCGCTATCGATAAACACTGGCGGGGCACCAGTGAGGGATGATAGATGAGTATGAAAACAGGTCAGTTAGCCCATCGTGATGAATGCAAAAAGTATTAATCACAATGGTTTCCAGGGGGAACTGCGTGGAGGTTAATCTAACACATTACTGACAATCTCTTTCCCCCCTCTTAAAGGGATAAGGCTTATACTTCTAAAAATAGTCTATGTTTACTCTACTTCAATGCCCATACATTTACTTTCAGAGAATCTCTTCACACAGAGAAGAAGAGAGAAAATCGTAGCAGATCAAAGAGTCAGTCGCCAGAGAAACGGATACCGGTTTGGGAGAATAACAAGGAATTCGCTTCGGTACCGTACCGACCTAGGGGCGAAACTGGTGAAAATTCGTACCAGAAACCCAAAAGACGGGACTTCAGACCGTATCAACAGCCTGGGGACTATAGAGATGAGAGGAAGGATGAGGAAAGGCAGAATTACTACCCGAATAGATTTGATAGGTACCCCAACAGAGAGTATGCGGGCCGACAGGAAGACAACTACAATCGGCCGGATTATAACAGGTGGGAGCAGGACAAAACATATCCGGCGGGAAGAAGACGGCCGTACGGGTACAGAGGAGGGTACAGGGGAGACCATAGGGGTGATTACAGGAGTGAATATAGAGATGACTATAGGGGTGAATTCAGGGGTGACAGAAGTCAAAGTTTTGGCGATGGACCCTCAGGATCGTACTCCAAAAACGAGGATGTTGTTGGTACCCCTGAAAGTTTTCCGAAAAAAGTTAAACTTGTAGATTATTAAGTGTAATTAGATGTTTACATGCCAAATTAAAAAGAAATGTATAATATCGGTTAAACAAACATTGGTGAGGAGTGCGTGACTAGAACTTGACAATTCGGATTTGTATTTGATAAATATATATAAAATTAATTTATGAACAAGTCACGTCATTATGTAAATTCATCATAGACTTTCATAATTTACAGATAAAAATTAAATATTCAATTGTATACTTAATATGATATATATGTATAAATCAAAACATGGATGTGATGTTACAATTGGTAACGGAAATTTTAAATTCACTTGTGATACTGAAATGCAGAATATTCACAACAAAATAGTATTATTTTGTCTTGTTCACGATATCATGCGATGTACATTTTTAGAGATTACTGGTGTCTTCTAAAAAAAGTATAGATAAGAAGTAAAAATATTTATCTTTTCTATATCCTTTGCGGGTAGAGAGAGAGAGGAAAGAGAGAGAGCTAAGTTTCAAAGACCTTTAGTTTTACATTTTGCTTCGTCTACTATCATCAAATATAGCTTACTTATTCACATCTATGCACCGATAAAAATAAAAGAGGTACATGTAAGTACTACTTCTAATCATGTGAGGATGGTCACCCTCTAGTTTGGAAAGCTTCTACGGTACTGTCAATATACACAAAGACTTCTGACGTTGCTTACCTGAAGACTGCTTTACTTCCCTCCGGAGCCTCCTTTCCTTTTGGAGCTTAGAGCATGACAATTTTAAAATTATCCAAACGTCAAATATTCCGGGGTTTAGACTGGGATTTGATTTTAGACTAAAGTCATGTCCAACTGAGCTATCACTGTTTTATGTAAATAAAATAAAATCTTACATTTATGTGTCATACAGAACAAAGAACTAGTTCATAGTATAGCAGTTTTATTATTCCCTAACCTCTAACGTTTAATAAAAAAAAAAGAACAAAGTTGGCATTCACATGTTTACTACCATAGATATGGTACAACAATATGCTTTATAGATAGCAATAATAAAAGGTTTAAAACCCAGTAAATAAAGACTGTAGATAATTGTTGGTAAACCGTTGTATTTCTATACCTAGTCTGGCGATAGAGTGGGAAATTTGAAGAATAGTATTTTTTTTTTTTAATAATTATAGTGCATTATAGATATTATAGTGATTATAATATATAGAATAGTTGAGCCACTACTTTTTTTTTTAATAGATTGCTTCTTCTGTAAGTTTAAAATACATTTTTATTTTACTATCACTTTGTTCTCGTATTGTAACGATTAATTTCTGTTGAATTAATCATGAGCCAATTAATTTCTGACTCCATTCTTACCTATCGTTTACTGGTAACCTGTCAAAGTATAATGTATTTTTTTAATGGATGATAATGGAATGGTAACCACCCGCGCCATCGGTATACACCGGCGGGGCACCAGTGAAGGATGATAAGTGAGGATGAAGTAGGTCAGTCAGCCCATCGTGATGAATTCAACAAGAATTGTTCACGATGGTTTATAGGGGGAGCCACGTGGACGTCGACCTAATAGGGCATATTGCTAGCAATGGCGCTGTCAAACTCCATTGCTAACAATCCTTTTCCCTCCAGTATAATGTATTAATTAATGCACACGCAAGGTTACCATTCCATTTTCATCCCATTAAAAAGTTATAAATTTGAAATGATAGGTGGTAGTGAAAGTTACAATAGTTAAAGGGAGTGGGGGGGGGGAGGGTAAGGTCAGGTGTATATATTGCTAGCACTAGGTCTTTGTTTCTAACAATCCCTTGTCTCCTAACAAACATGTTTTAGTGTAATATATTTAAACTACGTTACACAAAATAGTGTAAATATTATGAATTTACTTTAGACACTTATATAAACGCAGCTTGTATTTGTATATTGCTTTATTATGTTACATCAGTCTTAAATAAATAAGTATATAATATAAAAAATATTGTTTTATTTGTTTAAAATCCAGGAAAGGATTTTTTTGTCTTAAATAAATAAGTGCTAAATATATGAAAAATATAGTTTTATTTGTTTAAAATTTAGGAAAGAATTTTTTTAGTTATTTGAGTTCACAATTAGCATTATTCATGTACCGAAGTCGGATAGAACGGATTACTTCTTCCTTTCCCGTGGATGTTGTAAGAGGTGACTATGGGAACTTAATGGTCGAAAGATGGACAACAGCGTTCTTCTTAAAATATTACAAAAACCTAACTACAGTTACCAAAAAAAAAAAATTATTTGAAAATAAGCCACAATAAGTAGTATGACGCAAAATGTAGATTTTTAAAGAAATGTCAAATTTGAAAAACTGCAGATTCGTAAATTTGCCATAGAGGTAACGATATATCAATGTTTCTATTTTCTAATATATGTACACAGATATTGTCTAAAATTTCTTTATTATTATTAAGATATTCATTGATTTATCGGTAGCTAGCTTTAATCCTGTGACTTTGTCCGCGTGATCGGTTTATGCTTACTGTCCATAATAAGAAGTACCTACCTTACCTATGTCCTTCTCCATCTCATATATAAGTGTATACCAAATTTCACAGTCATTAGTTAAATGGTTAAGACGCTATAAGGTAAACAAACTCATTTTCATATAACATTCGTAAAGATAAAGAATAAATAATTCCATATCTAAGTAAATAACCTTACACATAGTTAATTTTACACTTTCACGTTGTTTACACATATTTTAAATACACAATCGGCACTTAACGCGATATAAAAGTTTACAGGTAAATAGGTACCTAAATACCTGCTTCTTTATTGCTGACGTTTCAAAGAAGTAAGTATGTAGGTACTTTTTCTTTTAATTTAAAAGTTTCCTCTTGTCGGTGCAACTAATTCATGCATCTTCTTCCAGCCAGCTCTATCCCAGGCCATATCCTTGACCTCCCTATACGACATGACACCTAGTATTTCCTTTATCTGTCCCATGTAGTTATTCCTCGGTCATCCCCTTTCTCTTTTGCCTTCTACTATATTCTTTAAAAAGTCGTATGTTGTATAAGAAGACCCAGCATTTTGTCTCTTCCATTCTCTATTGTTTTTATTAATGTTCTTTTCTCCTTCACCCTTTTTAAGACTTCCTCATTCGTTACTTTTTCTGTCCAACTTATCCTTGTAAGTAGGAACAATTTACATGTAAAAGATTTTACATCGCGTTAAATCTCGATTGTGTATTTAAAACCTTATACATATTTATTGTTTTCTCATTGTGATTATTTCTTGTAATTGTTTATATTTATAATAAGTTTACTATTGTAATCTCTTGGAGGAAACAATAAATAGTATCTATCTATCTATCTATCTATAATTACAGAGCACCTATATTAGTAGATACAAGCAAGTATCTAATTGGTACGATGTCAGTCAGTAAGCGTAATTATTTGTACGTATTTTAATAATATATATGGCACACAAATGATCTATTTATACGTGTAAATTCATCAACAATCCTCATTAAACCAGCATACCTCCTAACTTGACTTTTCTATTTTTTTTTTTAATTAATGATAAAATGGAATAATAACCCCGACTGTGATATTTTTTTTAATGGATGACAGTGGAGTGGTAACCCTGCCTGCGTTAACGATATATCGTTCGTCACCTATCATCATTCACTGATGCTAGCGGAGAATGATGACAGGTGAGATGAAAAGGCAGGTCAATAAGCCCATCGTGATGAATACACCAGGAATTCAGCACGATAGTTTCCAGGGGGGAGGGGGGGGGCACGTGGAAGTCGACCTGACAGGACTTGCTAGCAAGGACCATTAGTCCCCATAGTAATGGGCTTATCTATGCTGGGGGCAAGGGATATTTTACTAAATATCCCTTAGATAAGTACACCATATCATCTTTCATAAAAAAGAATGCCGGTAACAGGAAAACGTGAAAAGGCACCAACTGCGTTATATCCGAGAGGCTAAGTTAGGCTAGACCGAAATAGTTCGTAGTCAGTCGCTGAGCGTGTCCACGTCTATGTCCTCGTTGTCGTCGGTCTCGAGGTCGGCCCCGGGGGGGCGCGGCGGGGGCGGCGCGGCGCCTCTTCCCTCCTTCGTGTGCCTCCACTTCATGCGGCGATTTTGGAACCATACCTTCACCTGGTGAAGAAATATTATTTGGTTTATGTATTGTATGTATATATGGTATTGTAACGTCTATCCTAAGCTTCAAGCTATCTACCAAGAGTGCCTACTAAGGGCGGGGGGAGGCATTATTAATAATATAGTCAGACTCCCTATTATACTAGCTTCTTAATAGCTAGTGAAGTGGGGAAAGGGATTGTTAGTAATAGAGTTTGACAGTATTTGGAGTTAGGTCGACCTCCACATGGTTTCCCCTGGAAACCAGCGTGAACAATTCTTGTTGAATTCGTCACGATGGGCCAACTGACCTGTTTCATCCTCACCTATCACCCTTCACTGGTGCCCCGCCGGTGTATAACTATAATCCATCCAGGGGAATCACTGAACCTATTAGACCCATTACTAACAATATATTTTTCTTGCCCCATTGCTAGGCCACGCAGGCCGCTCCGAAAAATATCGATATTTTTTTTTATTTATCACAATGACTTAACCGACCGACTTTAGGGAGGGAGGGATTGTTAGTAATGGGGAGGTTAGTCCCCATTGCTATCAATATACGCTATCAGGTCGACCTCCACGCGGTTCCGCCTGGAAACTATTGTGACTAATTTATCGAATAATATTTATGAATTCGTCACGATGGGCTAACTGACTTGCCTTTTCATTCTTACCTATCACCTTTTACTGGTACCCAGCCAGTGTATACCGATAGCGCAGGCGGGGTTTCATTTTCGCCCATTAAAAAAACCGACCGACTTTTATGCTACCATCTCTTACTGGTACTTGGCCAACATATACCGATAGCGAAGGCGGGGTTCTCGTTTCATTATAATCCGTATCGCCTTAACTGCCTCATTGCTAGCAATATACTGTCATGTCGACTTTCTCGCGGTTCTTCCAGGGAACTATTATGATTCATAGTAAGTCTGTCACGATTGCCTAACTGATCTGAGAGCTGATTTTTTATTAAATCGAATAAACATTTATTTATTTATTTATAAAAGACACACCAACAATATGCTCACAGCAATTAAGCAGACAATATACAATATTATAAGTAAGTAAAAGAGAAAAACTACTAAAAAAAATGCTTAAATCTAAGTTTACTTGAACAAAAAGATCTCACTCCTCTCTACCAAGCTTAAGGCCATATGAACACATCAATTAAAGGTGTATACAGCTCTCACAGATAAACGTCAATGTATACTAAGTAACAATTTCAATTTATCATCATAATAACATCAAATATAAGGTAAAATAACCTTTTGATTTCATGATTATTCGATTCGATCCCGATTCGATGGCTTCATTCTCATCTGCCATCCTTTACCGGTAATATGGATCTAGATGAAGACTATGTATGAAAAGTTACATATACCTGCTATGCAACGTTGTGCCTCTGTTCCATCCTAATCTTGGGGGTCTACCATAAAATGAAATTCCGAATTTTAGGACTCGACTTCGTGTTTTCATGCATACCGAAATTGGCTCCTGGCGTAAAATGAGCCACCCCTTAATTTTTCATGGGTCTCGTAAGAGGCCTAAGGGAATTTATTGGTCAAGGGATGGGCAGCAGCGACCCTCTTAAAACATCTCTAAAGCCTAATCACGGTTGCCAATTTACCTGTCAAGCGTGGCAACTACTGGCAAAACCCTCCAATAAGGGGAGGCAGCAATGCATAGCTAATGGCTGATATTAATTCTGCCAATAACTGTCCACTGCTGATAATTTGATACCAATTTTTTTATGTCGAGGTGACGGTTGCTTTACCTCCTCATATAAAAAAGTCTAAGCTGTATAACCTGAGCATCAGTGAGTCCTAAGGTAGCGGCGAGCTGCCGCCGGTCCGGCTTCGTTATATACTTCTGTATTTGGAAGCGCCTCTCGAGGCCTTTCCTCTGCAGGTTACTGAACACCGCCCGGGACCAGGAGCGCTTCCTCTTGCCGCTGGAGGAGACGTCACACCGCGGCGCCGGCTGCTGCTGAGGTGGCGGCGACGATATAGGAAGGCGGTACACTGGAAATTTGTAGAGATCAAATTTTGCCATGGGTGTATTTAAGGGGCAGCTGAGTGGGCTGTGCCCACCCCATAATTGTCTAGTTCCTACCCCAGAATGCAGGCAGAGCTTTTCGTTATATGCAAAGTTCTGTCTGAGACTTAATAATGGAAGTTTTGAAGGACTGGTCGTCTTTGAAAATAATCTTAAATACATCAATGGATTGCAAGAATAAAACGCTGGATAAGAGCATTATGGTCCACATTAGTTTATACATCTCAAAGGTCTCGAGTTTGAATCTAGTCTACACTAGTTTTACCAGAGGGAGACTTTGTACAAAAGTCGTTTGCTTGGCCACCTCTGTCCCATTCGTATTTCTACCGTGAAGCAGTTGTTTTTTTTATACAACTTAGAATGGCAAACAAGCTGACGGCCCATCTGATGAAAAGTGGTAACCGTCGCCTATAGACATGAGGAGTACCATGGACATAACAGAGTATACTGTTTCGCCCTGATACCCCCATGTGTTGCCATTCCTGAGGACTCAGGTGTTATTCCTCTGTACCCAGTAAATTCACTGCTATATCCCACCCATCAAAACGAAACACATCCATGTAAATATAATTGCTTTACGTTAGAAACATGAATAAGACAGAGGTGCCCAAGCAAACGACTTTTGTACAAAGTCTCCCTCTAGTATAGGCATACGGTATATGTATAGGTATATTGGGTTCCTCTGGACGCTAATGGTGGAATAATACAGGTTAATGTAAGTGCGAGTATATAATTGTAAATATTATAATCATTGCCGTGTGGTCCCGGCATAGAATAAGCCACCCCTTCCTTTCCTGTAAGTGTCATAAGAGGCGATTAAGAAAATTTAATGGTCGAGAAATGGGCAGCAGTGTCCTTTTAAAAACATTACCAAAGCCTAAGTGCAGTTGCCAACTCGCCTACCAAACGTGGCAACTACCGGCAAACCCAAATGGGGGAGGGTTACGTTCAAATATTAAAAGGTTAGTAGGTATATATATATATATATATATATATATATATATATATATATATATATATATATATATATATATATATATATATATATATATATATATATATATATATATATATAGGCGGTGTATTATTAAATTGTAGGAATATAATAGTACATTACTGCAGCGGCCAGCAACTGAGGCATTGGTGGACGAAAGTGCAAATGTGGGCCGAGGCGTAGCCGAGGCACACATACGTGAGTCTATCAATGCCAAGTTGTGGCCAAGGCTTGTATAGTACTTTTCTCAAACAATGCGCGGAAATCAAAAACACAATTTTACTTTTTAAGTTCAATGACGAATAACGAACAATAATAATTTTTCTCGCGCCATAATGTTCCTTTGTTTTTTTTTTTCAATAAACAGTTTTCTATTTACAAGCCAGTTCAAAATTTAAATAAAACCTTTTATTAGATACCTCCTTGGTAGCCATGTTTCGAAGTACAAGGTCATTCCATTTTTAAATTACAGGACAGATATGAGTTTACATAGTAATTTATCTGGCCGCAAAACACGACAGATATGGATTTTCATACAATTTTTGCCGTCCGCTGCCCGCATGTATCTGGCCAGTACGGCAATTTTTATTTATCTCGAAGAAGATTGTCAAAATAATGCTCACATTTCCAAGCATGTTGGAGAAAAAAATCATACTTAATATATTTTTATATTATAAACATATAATTAGACAAACAACAGACAAAAAACAGAAGTCGGTTAAACTTAGGGGGGATTTTTTTTAATGGGTTAAAATGGTATGGTAACCCCGCCTGCGCTAACGAGATACGCTGGCGGAGCACCAGTGAAGGGTGATTGATGAGAATGAAAACAGGCCAGTTAGCCCATCATGATGGATTCATCAGGAATTAACCATGATAGTTTCCAGTGGGAACCGCGAGGAGGTCGACCTGGTTGGGTATATTACTAGCAATAGGATTCTCAGTCTCCATTACTAACAATCCCTTTTCCCCCAACTTAAGTGGGATTGAGTGGATCTTAATAGCTGTGTAGAGATTTACACCCAGTGGGTGACTACTGATGAACAGTGTCGCCGAGGCCGGCCCGGGACATACAGGTACATGGTAAGATTGCCTCTAACATGAATTTATTTTTCTTGTCCATACACAAGTAATTAAATTTTAAAACTGAGTTATGCAAGTGGCTGGTCGATAAATGTTCGTATTCTTTGGGAGAACTCGAAAATATTATGTGACACTCACATAATAATAATAATTATAAGCTAGTAAGTTAGGTATATAGGTAGATACCTAGGTATAGTAAGTAAGTAGTAATATAGGATTTGAAAGATTATTATTAAGATGGGCGTTCCACAAGGGTCAATCTTAGGCCCCTTTCTCTTTTTAATTTACATAAATGACCTTCCCTTTATGGTAGAGAAAATTGCAGATATAGTGCTGTTTGCGGATGATACTTCGTTAGTGTTTAAAATTGGACGTCAAAGTAATCAATTAGACGATGTAAATTGTGCTATGTCTGCAATATTAAATTGGTTTACATGTAATAACCTATTATTAAATTCCAGCAAAACAAAGTGTATAAAATTTACACTTCCTAATGTAAGACTAATAAATACACAGTTATTGCTTAATGACGAAATAGTAAATTTTGTTAATGATACAGTTTTTTTAGGTATAACAGTGGACTCGAAATTACAATGGGGGTCCCATATTTCAAAATTGGCCAGTAGACTCAGTTCTGCTGCATATGCAATTAGAAGAATTAGGCAATTAACAGACGTGGCGACGGCTAAACTTGTATATTTTAGTTATTTCCATAGCATAATGTCTTATGGCATACTGCTGTGGGGTAAAGCAGCCGATATAAATACTATATTTGTTTTACAAAAGAGAGCCATACGTTCTATTTATGGTATGGGTTCAAGAGAGTCATTACGTCAGTGCTTTAAAGACTCAAATATCCTCACAGTTACTTCACAATACATTTATGAAAATATTATGTATACACGGAAGAACTTAGCGAGTTTTAAAAAACTCAAAGACTGTACAAGTAGAAACTTACGCAATATAAATAAGCTTATTTTACCTAAATGCCGTCTGCACAAAATCAGTAATTCATTCTATGGTAATTGCATAAGATTTTATAATAAACTGCCGGAATCTGCATTAAATCTGACAGAGAGGCAATTCAAATCTTATATTAAACAATTTTTATGTAAGAAAGCCTATTACAGGATAGACGAATTCATAGATGACAACATATCAAGTAAATAATTAGTTTATTAGCATACAACGTTATAATTTTATTTTCTCATTGCTTTCTTGATTTAATTGATTAATTTTAGAAATATGAAAGCGTAGCGGTTTTTTGTATTAATTGCCGCATGCATTCTTATGTAAAATGTGAATACTATAACTATCAGATGGCAATTGTGAGTAGCTTTGACGTGGTCTAGTGTTTTGAGTAGTCATGCTCACTAAAATGTCCAGACTTGTGGCGGCGTGGTGGGCCGGGTCATTGGGCTCCCTAAAATATGGTCGAGCGCAGTGATGGCTGGCTCATCCGTCATACTCGTGAACGGGTGCTGCTTGTAGGGACTGGTCTGCTCTAATCACTATGACTGATTTCCTCTTATTAATTGTTTAACCAGTTGGTTATGTATTCAATTTTTTTTTTTTTTTTGAGTATTTAATTGAATTAGTGCTAATTGGTGGTTTGTATTCACACAATTAAACTTAAAAATGTAAAATAATAATAAAATTATTTAAAAGAGCATCACGCAAGTTTCTTGCTCGTTCTTCTTGTGATGAGACAGCTTTCCGAACGAGCGGTAAATTAAAAAAAATGTAATGACTTTTCAAAAGTGCTTCAATGTAAGTTTATTTGAATAAATGATTTCTATTCTATTCTATATTCTATTCTGAAAGAAAGTATGACTATTTACTTTCTTATTCGAAAAGTGTTAGTGATAGAAACGTCTTGCGTTTAAATGTAACAAATGAAGCAGTACAATAAATACAGTAAATTTAACGATTGTTAAACGTTTGGGTTTAATCTGTTTTTCTTCAAATAAGAGTGGCTTCAATCGTTACAAAATTAATATGGGATTTAACTTAAATAAATTGGTCTTATTCAATCTATATTAGCTGAACCTAAACTAGAAATTTTTGAACATTTCTGTAAATTATTGATGCACATTAATTCCTCTCTTTCCGTGTCTAGGGAAAGTAGATAAGGCTTTATTAGAAAAATCTCAGGGTACGATAGGGCTGATATACCTGAAGAAGGTAAAAGCCCTTAAAAATATTTTAAAAAAAGCAAAAAATGGGACTAAAGTAACTTATGGCGATTGCAAATAAAATGTGAAAATGGATTTACAATCAACGATATTATCGCGTAATACAAGTAACAAATTGTGGATCTTCACGTTTAAAAAATAACATGCCATACGTTTGTAGACTGTCTATTTGTTTTCTTCTTGCCGCATTCACAGAGATCAGCTTTCTTATAATTTGTCACAATTTTTATCGTAAGCGGGTATCTTTTCAACATAGACTCGCCCACTTGGACATTCGAGAATCATTTGGATTTTGGAGCCCTAACCTTAGACCTGATATCTACGTAAGAATTTATTTTATTTTGACTGCATTTAATACATTAAATATATACATTTCATTTCGTACAGGTAATAAAAGAATACAAAAATTATTTTATATACCGATTTGTAACAATATATCACAATATATAAAATGCAGAAAATATAACAATGTATGCAAGGACCTTGATATCTTCCATTGCAATGTTACATTAAGGCTGCCAATTTGTTACTTTAAATTTATAGCCGTCATTCTTTTAATGTATATAGTATCGAATGTTATGCAGAGCAGTTATTGGAGTGCAAATTTAATGTCGTTTCATGTAATATTTATTTTATAAATGTATTAATTTGTAATCTGTTGCCTTGCTATAAATAAATAAATAAATAAATAAATAAATACATATATATAAAATGAGAAATATAGAAAATATAATTAAAAATATGTCCCACAAAAAACTACTTTAATTGTGATAAAACCAGTTATTTTGATCTGAAAATTAAACTACTATACTCGTTTTGATAATATTTGTTTGGAACCAATCCTTAATAAGTATAATTCTTTTTTTTTTATATCCTTTTAGATATAAAAAAAGAATTTTTCAAATTAGTTTATAACTGACGGAGTTATGAGGCAATAAATATAAAAAAAAAAACCGAATAGAAAACATCCTTCTTTTTTAAAGCCGTTTAATAAAATTACAAATAATGAATAAATGAGTATACTTTATTTGCATTATACAATATAGGAAATAAGCAAGACAATTTACAAACACAACGATACAATTGTATAAGTACAGTAAGGCGGTCTTATTGCTGAGAGCAATCTTTTCAAGACAACCTTAAGAATGGCAATGAAAATCGTGGTTCTGTTGTAAAGCAACTGTGTAATAGATGTACTTCAGTTTAAAGGATCATCATCATTACCCTATCAGCCATTAATTGTTCGCTGCTGAACATAAGGCTCTCTATTGGGGGGTTTTGCCAGTAGTTGCCACGCTTGGCAGTTAGATCTTGGAAATGTTTAAGAAGGACGCTGCTGCCCATCCCTCGACTATTAAGTTCCCTTAGTCGCTTCTTAAGACACCCACAGGAATGGAAGGGGTTGCCTAATTTATGTCGGAATCACACGGCAGGAAGGGTAGAATACAGCAGTGAAATAATAGGGTACGAAGACATAATACTATAGTCCTCAGTGTAACGTATGAGGGGCACCATAGTCGTTATAGAGTACTCTGTTATGTCCATGGTGCCGTTCATGTCTACAGACGAGGGTTACCACTTTCCATAAGGTCAAACATCCGATTATTTACCATTCTCAGTGTTATAAAAAAATGAATGAATGAAATCATTTGTATATATGTATTTGTTTAAGAAGAAAATATAAAAAAAGATATGTATGTATGTAGGTATTCCTTCATGTCGTGGATCTGATAATGGGATTTTACTGTTTCCTTTCAAGCGATCTTATGATCACCAAATTATTTTGGTAATTTTCATAGATGACTATGAATATTTATATCAATTATTGCTTTTCGAAATTTAATTAGCCCGTCTTGGTACAGCATCACAGGTAGTTACAATTCTTAAACAATATTTTGTAATAAAACCGTATTGTATTGTAAAAAATTTATTGTGCATAATTTACATTATAGATACATAAATAAGATCTAGTATACAATGGCGGACTTATCTCATAAAAGGATCTTTTAAGTAATACTTTTGTTGACATATTAATGTATTTACCTGTATAATAAAGTCGATTTACCATACAAATGCGAGTAAGACATTTTATTACATTTGTTCTCTCTTTGCTCATTCATCCCCTAAATAAGTGTTTTGTTTATCTGAGTATTGATTAGTAAGCATGAGTAGTATGGATATAGATTCGATATTTTTTTTTATACAACTTAGAATGGCAAACAAGCTGACGGCACACCTGATGGAAAGTGGTAACCGTCGCCTATAGACATGAGCAGTACCATGGACATAACAGAGTATACTGTTTCGCCCATGATACCCCCAATGCGTTGCCATTCATGAGGACTCAGGTGTTATTCCTCTGTACCCTGTAAATTTACGCCATACCTATCCCACCCTTCAAACCGAAACACAGCCATGCAAACACAACTGCTTCACGCTTGAAACACGAATGGGACAGAGGTACCCAAGCAAACGACTTTTGTACAAAGTCTCCCTCTGGTATAGGTATATTGGGTTCCTCTGGACGCTGATGGTGGAGAAAGGTCATCACCCATTTCGATAACGTCCATATCGGTCGGATATTTATTTTCAAATACGTTAAAAGTCTGTTATCCAATATTTTTTTTTTTAATTTCAGTTCATGGAATTCCATAATGTTTTTGCTAACGGATTACAAAAACAGTCTGAAACTGAGTTCTATGGAGTGGTAGCCCTGAATGTGTCGTTGGCTGAACTGGTTTTTATTGCCGACGTTATTATGTTATCCAATATAATTTTTCATATAACACACTTTTAATATAATCGTTATTGCACCAATATATACACATTGTAACTAAAAATATATAGATATTGCTATATCCTATTACCCACCCCAATAGGTAGGTACATACCAGTTGTAGGCCTTAGTGCTGGATGTAAATGTGTGTATGATAGAGGCAGAGGCAGCTGCAGTATAGGTGGTTCATCCCTACAGCACCTATATAGAGCTGCTACACAGCCCGCGCACGGGGGCTCCTGTCGGGGCGGTTCGACCACTGACGCACTTCTGTTCTCATTGCTCAATATACTCTCCACACTGAACTTCAACTTAGTCGAATTGACTTCACCACTCAATGACGTCATCGCACAAACAGGACCTCCTCCGACGAGAGTGTTTGAGTAACTGACTAGGACCGCGCGCGCACCCGTCGCAGGCGCTGCCTGTGGGCGTGTCTCAATAAATACGGCCCTCTGATTGGCCGATTGGCATTGGGCGTTGCTTAATGTTGCGTATGCGCACCGTTAATGGAGTCAGCCAGCATGGACTGGTAGAAGTACAGTGCTTGTTTACAATAAATTGTCAGTTTCATGTTTTATACGAATTCGTGTGTTGGATACAGTTTTATTACATCACCTCGTTAAGGGTTAAGAACGGTTGCCATACTTTGGTTACAGTCAATGATTTTTTTTGTGTGTGGCTCCCCCTTAGTAGCACGCTTTTTCCCGGATATTAAGTTCCAGGTTATGCATCTATTACTTTTAATTATTTAGCTAGTTTCCTTAGTTTTCTTCCTTTCCATCCATTCTTTCATTCCGTTTATACTTTATTTCCTGTCAGTTCTATTTATTTCTTAGTGGAGTTCCTTATTCCTTTGTTCATAGGTTTTCCGGTAGTCGTTGGATCACAATCCTTTGGCGTTGATGTTTATACGTCCCCCATCCCACTGTCTGTGCATCAGTTTGTTTTTGGTTTTGTCATGTTTTACAATCAATGAGAGAGGAGGAATTGTCTTTGAACATACGTATTTAATTTTGGCCGAGAGATTAACCGACGAATCCAACTTAGGTGGGCAGGGGGGAAAGGGATTGTTAGTAATGGATAGTTAGTAAATTTCTATTAGTTAATTATTTCCATCCGAAATATCAAAATTTCTAAATTGGACCCTATGTATTTGCGTTTTGTTTCAGATCCTGATTTTAAATATGGATGCAAGCAAATCAATTCACTATATGTATAATGTAGTATAGGTATATGTATAATATATCACTATAAGTATTATGAGATATTATGCTATTGTGACCTGAGACAGGTGATATCACTTACTAGAAGGTCCCCACAACGATCTTTGTATTGTACTAATTTTAATTTAATTTTAATTTAATAAATACCGCTTTAACTTACGTGTAATTAGATCGAAAAAGCTCCACTAGTTTCGTTATCAATTCGTGATCCTTAGTCACGAGTAACTGTGACGTCAGGACGAGTCTGACTGCGTGCCTCGGCCCAAACCAATTTTGTTATGAAAATAAATATTTTACATTTTCATTTTTCAAGTAGTAGCTATGCCGGGTCTAAATTAAGCTTTGGGTATTTTAGTTGATTCGAAGAATAACATAAAATATTCAGTCTTCGCATGAGTTGAATTGTGATACAAGAGACACCTTCCTATATCTATTTCTATGGTTTTGGCGACAGATCTTTCACCAGAGAGAGACTTTGTACAAAAGTCGTTTGCTTAGGTACCTCTGTTCCATTCGTGTTTCAACCGTGAAGCAGTTGTGTTTGCATGGCTGTGTTTAGGTTTGAAGGGTGGGATATGGCGTGAATTTACTGAGTACAGAGGAATAACATCTGAGTCCTCAGAAATGGCAACGCATGGGGGCGAAACATGGATCATGGACGAAACAGTATACTCTGTTACGTCCTTGGTACTGCTCATGTCTATAGGCGACGGTTACCACTTTCCATTTAGGTGGACCGTCAGCTTGTTTGCCATTCGAAGTTGTATAAAAAAAAGATACCGAGTGCGCAGTAGGTATATACTTTATTACGTGGATGGTATTACTCATGCCTATACACGTTGGTTACCTACCATTCACCATCAGGTGGGCCGTCAGTTTGTTTGCCATACCGTATAATAAAAAGCACACTTTAAAGAAAAAACTCACTCAAAAATAACTAAAACCAACTAATATATTCGGCGTCCGTGTTACTAAACACTACAACAAAATGTTTACGCAGCAAGCGTTTATCGATTCGTTAGTTCGTATGTAAAGTGGTCGGCTATTAATCGACGAACAACTGTTGGCTTTAAAACACCTAAATCGATTACTGTTCAGTTTATTTTGCCTGTCAGAGAGCACCTGTGCTGTATCAGCGCCACCAAATATAGATCCAGTGATTGGCCGAGCACAATGTTGCCATATGCAAGTTTTTATTCCTACCCAAATTTCATATTTTCTTTCAAGTTGATACGACTTCCTTCATGTTTGTGATCAACCGTCGAGAGTAGAATATTCTCTTTGCGATCAACTCACATTCATGGTCCGTATTGTACCTGTTTTACCTCAGGATGGTGTGGGCCACATATTAAATTATTGTAAAAAAAGTAAATTTAAACTACTCAAAAACTTATACATTTTTATTTAGATTTATTTATTTAAATTATATTTAATGCACAGTAAAATTCTTTGTATATTTGGCTAAGTTAACACCGGACGGTATTCTCTACCAGTCAACCATTGGGTAAACTGAGAAATATTTATTTATTATTTATTTATGTACACTTTATTGCACCATTTATAGAATAGTAAACACATTTAACTGTAATAAGAAATGATACAAAAGGCGGTCTTATCGCTAAGTAATCTCTTCCAGACAACCTTTGGGTAGAGAACATTGAGAAAACAAAGAAAAATAAAGGGTAGGTGGCGCACTATTATATTAGTACATATAAATTATAAATTAGTATATATAAACAAATATATACAAAGATATATACATATACATGTATATACATATACATACATAAACAAATACATACATAAACATACACAAACTTAAAAGTACACATACAACAGGAGAGAGTGACACTGGAAGATGAAGATAGAACATGGGAAAAAATAGTTACTTAAAGGGAGAGATAATGGGCTTTAACAGAGGTTTTGAAACTAGCGAGAGATTGAGCGCACAATAGAGGTAGGTAGTGAAAATACGTTACCATACGATTTTGTCCGGAAAGTTTATAAAAGTTTTTTAAAAATTTTATTTAAATTATTCAGGTAAATCAATTTTATCCCCTTCAAAGTACTCCCCCTGTGACATAATGCACTTGTGCCAACGCCGTTTCCACTGTGAGAAGGCTCCTTGAAAGTCCTCTGGTTGTAGGTTTCTCAGCTGCCCCGTCGTAACTTTTTTTATCTCATTTATGTCCCCCAAATGCCGCCCCCGAAGTACCAATTTGGTTTTTGGGAACAAGAAGAAGTCACACGGGAAATCCGGCGAATTACCAATGGAATTTTTACTCAAAAACTCACGGACAACAAGAGAGGTGTGGGCAATTGTCGTGGTGAAGAATCCATTCGTGCCACACGAGCTTTGAGGCGTCTGAGCACATCGACGTAGAATTTTCCATCAACTGTCTGGCCTGGAGGGACGAAATGGACAATCCCCCGAACATCGAACTCTTTCTCGGCCCTCTCTGAATCTTTTTAGCAACTTGTGGACGGTTGGTTCCTTCACAGCATCATCCCCATAAACTGTTCTGAGATCGGCAAAAATTTCATTCTTGCCGAGTTTCGAGAGAAACTTGATTACGACGCGCTGCTCTTCAACGGAAGCGGGCTCCATGCCGACGGGGTTTCGTTAAGAGGTAACTTCACAGATGGCGTGACAAGCCATTCGCACCGCATGAAGCATTGTTAGGGACATAAGGAAGGGATCCTGCGCTTACCTGGCCTCCCCACTCCTCTTTCTCGCATTCCAGAACACTTTTATACGAACTTTCCGGACAGACCTCGTATAGCAAAAAAATTACCATATAATTACTACGCAAACAACGAAAAAGAAATTCCTTTCTCAACGGCGACTTTTCTCATATTACTACCTTCATTGGTATAATATTTATATATCTATCTAATTTAAAATACACAAATTTCTCAAAACATTTATTTTGCTCCATAAATTTCTACAACAATATCTATAATATCTCCAGAATCTTACATACAACACACAAACATTTTTACCGAAAATTGTGGAAAAAAATCGTAATCTGGCAACACTAGTCGAGTACCAATCATTAGGTTTACTTATATCTGGTAGCGTTGATTACGGATATACGGATGAATAGACAAAAGATATTTTACATCAATCCTACGCAGAATTAATTAGGTAGATACCTACATATAAAAAGTTTTTTTTACGTAAATTCGATGGAGAATTACATGTCTGACTGATTTGTTTGGGAAAATTTTTAGACGAAAAACATATAATTTTAACAGCTTCATGCAACCAAACTAGAGTAGATAGAAAAATTAAAGATTGTCCCACAATAAAAAATGACTTCAATTCTGATAAAAACCAGTTATTTTTAATCGACTTTAAAAATAAGGAGATCCTTAATTCGATTCTTTCTCCCCATTTATTTGGGTAATCGAATAATGACAAAAAAGGAATAATAGAAAAAAAAACAAACATTAATAAAGGAAAATAATGGGTAAAGTTGTCATCAACACCGTTTACCATAGTTTCGTTTCAAACATTATATAAATAATACAAACATTGAAAAAACAGTGAAACTTATGAAAGTCTTTCAGAGATTAGTTTTTTAAAAGTTCTGGGGCGTTCATTAATAATATCAACGTCATTAAAAAAAAGAGGTATATGTTTATTACCTCATAACTTCGTCAATTCTAAACCGATTTGGAAAACTCTTTTTTTTATCTGAAAGTCACGAATTAGTCCTGTAGAAACGTCAAAATCAGTGTAGTATTTTAATTCAAAATAACTGTTTTTGTCACAACTGATATCGGTTTTTTGTGAGATACAAAAAAAAAAAGAATAAAGTTAAATAATAAAAAACAAAAAAAGGAAAATAAAAATAAAAAAAACTGTTTAACTTTACTCTTATTGATTATTAAATCTTTCATTCATTATTAAAACAGTGTTTTTTTTTAATTAAACTTTAAATCAAACCGTAATTGTTAAAATATGATTTTGAATTGTCAAAAGAACGTTTCAAATTAAAGATTCCTATACATATCTATATTATAATATATATTAATATTTTCACGCCAGATGCTAACAGAGTAGACAGAGATAACTGAGTACCAAAGCCCTGAATAACTATTATAAAAAAAGACATGCCTACATTTCGCTCATTAACACTCGA